AAAAGGGAGAGAGGATCGCAGTAGATACTTTTTCAGGTTGTCGGACTGCTCACACTAATTACCCCCAGTCAAAAAGGAAAATTGGTGTCGGGCGGCTGCAACTCTGGTTCAGAAAAAGTGAACCTGAGTTATTTGTATAGTAAGCTGGAATTCAATGCAATCCAATTCAATCAATCCAATCCATCTAATCCAATAGAAAAATGCAGCCCAAAAACAATATTCGCCTTTTCACGGACACTTTTACAAAAAACGCTATGATCAAATACAATGCAGGGCTATGGGCAAGTTTGCTCATCCCCATATTCTGTGATGTCGGATTCTCGCAAGAGTGATGTCCCTAATTCAATAATGCTTCCCTTATATAAAAGATATCTCAGTATTCACCAGCACCTATATAAAATTCACCCAAACAACAAAACTGTATAATGCCCACAGAGCTTTGACATATACCGTACCTCTAGAGTAGAGTAGTGGTCAATCAGATCTCAGCTTCTGTATGGTTACACTTTCCTTGAGACACTGACACCCATTTGCTCCATCCCTACCAGGTAGACTACTTGACCTGTCAGTGGACTTGGAATCTGTTGTCCTCTGCTGCTACCAGTCCGTAGTCCTGGGCAGCAAATTTTTGCTACCAGTACAATGTTGTGGCTAGCCAGAAAGAAGTCTTATGGGCAACAGTATGGAAACTACATGAAAGACCTGTTGCATAAGTTATTAGTACCGGCATCTCTTATTTACATCTTACCGGTTCCTTCATTCTCAATGCAGCCAATAGCGAGAAGTTCCTGTTTCTCAGAGTACCTGACCGATCCGGTGGAACGGGCATCAATCTCCAGGCGCCAGGCGAATCCATATCCACGTAAATTGATAGTCATATTTTTAGCCTTGCATTCACTGTCTTGACTCCCTGTGCTATTGGCAGATATACATTCATTGTTTGGGTACTTGCGAGAATGTGGGAGTGGAAGAGTAGACTACTACAGTACTTGGAAGATGTATGTTTGCATCAGAGTTTCACAGTTGTAATCTTAATTATGAGTGAGGAATAAAGTTTCAAAGACTTTTGGCGACAACCGTTCAGTGGATCGAAAAATTGCAAAGAGAAGTGCCTGCTCACCAAAGACCAAAGCCGCCATCACCGAGTTTCGTAAGGTACTAGCTAGTACTGTACAGAGACCACAATAACACAGCCAAATCCTTTGCTCGAGGCTCAAAGGAACTGCGTTGTGTGTCTTGTGTATTGTGTTGGTGGCAGGCAGGATTTCCTGGTCTCTCTAAGTACTGTTGCTGTTTGTTGGGAGTATTCTATACCAAACTTGTTGAGGAAAGGCAGAATCGAGTCAGCTAGTACCCTCAACAGCAACCAAATCGACATCGACACAACCTGGTATTGCACTTCTAAAGAACTGCGCCCAAGCAACGTTTTTTGATTTGCCCCTTGGTTGACTTCTCTCTTGGGCCCTTCTCTGTGGCATAATTGTGACTACCTCCAAGAAATCTCAGTGCACTACCATCCCATAGATCAGATACCCTTGTCACAGTTAGCTGACAGTCAGCTAGCTCACCATGAATCAAGCCCAGAACCACGCCTCTATGGAGATAATGGAGGAAATTGACGTTGACAGCGTCGTGTTGGAACCTCCCAGAGCCGAAATGTCCAACAGCTCCCTCTTGTCTGGCGGCGGCGAGGGGGTAGAATCCTTGTTGGCGTCCATGTCGACCAAGGACGTCAAGGCCTTGGCGCGCCTTCTCAAACCGGCCATGGACGAAGTCGAAGAAGAAGAAGACAGCGGCATGATTCCGTCCAGGAGGGATCAGATGGCGGAATCTCGTCGTTCGCGTCATTCGGATGAAGAATGTGCCTTGATAGCCGAGGGGGGAAATGAGGACGATGCTGCCAAAGACGAAGTCGCCGAGAAGAAAACGACGACAACTTCGTCCTGGAATGTGTTCGCGTCCACGAGAATAATGAAATGGGTAACAGCCGAGGAGGAGGCTGCAGAAACGCATGCTCCGTTTGGTGCCAGTGCCTACACGCTTCTCTACATGTGCGACTTCAATTCACAAGCTTTCTGGTATGCCATGTTCACCTACATTATCCAAGTAAGTGGACAAATTTTTGAATTAGTAATCATGAGCCTGTTTGGGTTTAAAAAATGACTGACGCTCGGCTTTCATCTCTGCTTTTGTTGTTTCAAGATTTCCACAATTACATTGACCCTGATTGATGTTGTGGATTGGAGTGGAGAAGGCAATGGGTTCAACTTGCCGCCAATGGTGAGCATCAGTGTCACCCTTGCTCAGTTTGTCACACTCTTCCAGGCTTTGGCGTTTCAGTCCGACCTTCTCGAGGCAGCTTTGAAGTGAGTTTAGTTTGTGGCATCCACTTTGTTTTCGATTTTGTGCGCCTTTGTAGTATCCCTCACTGATCCCTTTGGCGTTGTGCAGACTACAAGATGGATTCTATCCAGAAGTCCAGGAAAAATACCCAGGAGCTACCTATTCTACATGGCTGCTCTCTTGCCTTAGCCAGCTCTTGGCGGGTTTCCTCCTGCTCATCACTATCTTCATCTTGACCATGCAAGTCGACAGCGTCTTGGCCATCATGCTCAACTTTGCTGCGCTCCATTTCATGGTGAGTTGAGTCCGACAATATCCCAGAGACCACCCGATACCCAATCTTCTCATGACCGTCTCGTTGCTTTGCTTTGCTGTGCAGGCCGACATTGACGACCTCGGTTTCTACATTGCCCAAATGGGTTTCATCAGTGTCAAACTGAGTAAAGCAACCAACGCAGTCGCCGACTTTGAGGTGCCGAAACGCGAACACAAAAGAGCTTTTTTCCGCAGAGTTCTCTACGGCTTGACCATGCTGTTACTCATGTGTGGGTATGGTGTGCTCAAGTACAGGCAGTTGTCGGGTGAATTTTTACAGACGGCTGTCTACGTTCAGGTAGGTACAATGAGGTTGGATTTCTATCATTGCGGCGAGGTACTTAATGCTAACTTTCTTTTCGTTCAAAATACGGCAGTTTGGTGACGAATACAACCCCAAAATCCCTTTTTATTCTGGAGTCCTTTCTGCTGGAAATGTCAGAACTACTGGTCACAGAAAATATTGGGACATCCAAACTGGAACAATTCTACTTTCTTACTGCAGCAGCGAGGGAGCTTGGACGTTCAGCGACACTGGAGAATCGTGTGACTACTTTGCCAAGTCACTCCCAACCAAAACTTATGACGTGACAACAATTCCAGATTCCAGCTGGGAAGTTTTGGATTCCATCGATAGGCTGAAACCCTTTGAGGCATTCACTCTCATCGGGAGGGATTGCGATCCCAATATCTGTCAAGGTGGATGTGTGGAGGGATTGTGTAAATGTAGCCCCCATCAATTTGGCCTGGACTGTGAATTTGATAGTGTTTGTCCAAAGTTGGTCATCAACACAAACCATCCACAATTTCCTCCCATGGCAGGAAGAGCTATCAGTGATGAGTTCGAAATCTTGCAGAATCCAACGACGGGAAACTTTGTGAAAGTCTACAGCATGCCAGTAAGTGGCTTTTGGTTGCAGAAGAGCGTGCAGAAGGTTTGGCCAACTCACTTATTCACCTCACTCTCCACCAGGTATACTATTCCAACAAGACTTATCCATCCAACTTCATTTTCTATGGAGGCCGCCGTTGGGTGATTTCATCTGAGAACACCTTACACATCCACAACCACACAATTGATGTGGATGTCGAAAAAGCGGAAAACGAAAATGAATGGTATTTCTACGAGGAAACTATTGCATTGTTTGAGAGCGGCAGGTTTCATGGCTTCCACCAGGCCACTTTCATTCCATTGTTGTTGAGTGACCCTGTGGACTTTAACACTCCTGATTTCCGGCCTACACCTGCTGGTCTTGGGTGGTCGACAGTTGCTACTAGAGATGAAGCTGCAAGGCTGTACGAGCCTGCAATTGAAGTGGCTGCATCCTTGCTTTGTGTTAGTTGCCTTGCGGAGCATGGAGGTTTTTGCCACAGTCATGGGGGCAAGTGCAATATTGACAGTGGCCTTTGTGAATGCAATGAATTGTTGGGCTACTCAGGTCCAGCCTGTGAGAAAGCACCGGCTTGCTATGATCAAGCCTTGCCATGCTATGGCCACGGAGAATGCGACAGAGTGTCGGGTTTGTGTCGATGCAACCCACCTTACTATGGAACACTCTGTGATACTTCATATTATTGCCACGAAGCAAATGGAAAATGCTACAACGATGGCGAGTGCAATTTGGACACTGGATATTGTGTCTGCCCAGACGATCCTGCGATTGCAGGTTGGGCTTGTGAAGCCAGTAAAGATCCTCATGTTTTCGGCTGTTCAAATGGAGGTACTCTCAATTCATCCTCTACAAGGTGTGATTGCCCCGAGCCGTTTTATGGTGTGCTTTGCGACCTCGTTGATGTGACCCAGGAGGAGTTTGTGTGCTCCAATAATGATGACTGCTTTGTTGGGACATGCGACAACACGACAGGTATTTGCGATTGTGGAAATGCCACCACGTTTGGAACGTTGTGTGAGATTGACTTCAACTGTACCAGTCACGGCTGCGTGAATTCTGGAGTGTGTGAACCTGCCTCCGGGCTTTGCGAGTGTGATCATCCATTTGAAGGGCATGACTGTGGTAGAATCCCCGATTGTCTTTCAGATGAAGACTGCATTGAAGGTGGTACATGCCACACTGAAACCGGTATCTGCCAATGCTCTGTCATTTTCAGTCTCGACTTTGGAACTCGCTGTGAGAGGGCTGGCTACTGCGATGACTCGAAGTGTCGCAATGGAGGGGTATGCAATGTACAAGGCTTTTGTATTTGTCCTCCACTCTACAGTGGCCCAAACTGCGAGTTCAAACTTTATGGTGTGGATGAGAATGAGAATGAATGCGTGGATTGTTAGGACGAGCTATGTCTCTGCTTTCTTGGAAAGAGCTTTGCATACTTTACTTTTTAAAATGTACATATTACCAATAAGAGTATTTAGATCATTGGACTGAACAAAGCTCCACGAGTACCGGTACCGGTACCTGCACAAGAGATCTTGCTTGGTTGGACAAGTGCTGGCTGAAGATCCAAATTCCTGTTCATGCCTTCACAGTTCACAGCAGTGCTGCTGGAGTACGAACCCTTTTTCTTGGACAATATTCGGAACCGGTACGGTACCTGGTATCATGGTACTAGTACCGTACCGGTACCTACCAAGAACCCCCCTGCCGCATCGGAAGATCAAAACAAAGGACTGACGTCAGTTTGCCCTCATTTCACAATGCCTCCGCGGTGCTCAAGCAGCACATGGCTGTTGCTTGTGGTGCCAACCTTGTTGCCGACGAATGGATTCCCTGTTACTAATACAATAGGATCATGCAACCATCTCAGTAGCATGCGCACACGGATGCAATGCTCAAGTCCTCATGTAACTGGCAATCTGCGCCGAATCTTCGTGCTCCAATGCTTGGCGTTGTTTCCGATACTCTGGACTCCAAGTTTTGTAAACGCCTTCAGTACAGCACCCCAAAGTCCCAGCAGCAACAGCAACGGTGATAGTATGGATTGCGAGCAACCACAACGGGTGGTGGTGATTGGTGCCAACGGGAAGACAGGTTTTCATTTGGTCCGAATGCTGCATCAACATCCGAACTATTCCACATTGGCAATGATTCGCGCCGCCGATCAAGCAACTAGGTTCGAAGAACTTGGTGTGGACTGGACAACAGGAGATCTTGAGGCTGGGTCTCCTTCTGTGGAAGCCTTGGAAGGCGCGGATGCTGTCATCTTTGCCGCAGGAGCTGGTCGAGATCGACCCAACATCAAGAAAGTGTCGATTGATTATCTTGGAGCCATCAAGGCAATTGCTTCCGCACAAGAAACCAAATCGGTCAAAAGATTTCTGCTATTGTCAGGAATCAATACGGATCCTCTTGGAACGAGGCGATCTGTCAACTCGAGTGATCTTGATGGTCCTCTGGCGGCATGGCATCGACTCAAGGCTCATTCAGAGACTTACCTTCGTGAATCACACGTGCATGGACGGGCATTGGACTGGACTATTTTGTGTCCTGGGCGGTTGGTGGATGAAGGCGAAGTTGGTACTGGGTTGGTAAAAGCGAGTCTGATTCACGGAGAAGAGGATCTCAAAGAAACCTTATCTGAAGAGGAAAGAGCTGCTGCTGTCAAGGTAATGCCTGGAAGTCATGACGGCAAGAGCGAGAGACTCTGTGTCAGCAGATACAACACAGCCGCCGCTCTCATGGCACTGTTGGGAGCTCCCAATACCATTGAAAAGTCGGTGACTCTTGTGGATGGGATATTGCCAGTGGAAGAGGCTCTGAGTATTGTTTGATGGAGTGTAAACCAGCCACAATGTGCGCCACAATGTGGACGCCGTGCAGCCACTCCGCTCTCGGTACACCGTGCCATTCACAACACTGCCGCCAGCTAGCTTTTCATGTGCCCAGAATACGCCTTGCGGTACAACTGCAGTTAGTGAAATCCAATCTTGCGTTGGATGTGAACACCGTAGCTTACCCGGAACCGAGCATTGTCAAATGTAACTTACATCCATTGTACGACTGTATGGTAGAGACTCAACATATCAACCATTTGCCATTGGACGGCAGCCGCTGAACAGCCCAAGGCTATCACGACCACCATGCGAAGGTATCAACTTGACCGCCTCAATTGGATGAGCAAGATGTATTCCAAAAACTTGGGCTTCATTCTTGGCTTGGGGAAAAGTTTGCAGACAATTTCGTTGGTGTGCCATCTCAAAGAACACATTGGTACCGCTAGTTCCCTCATCTGTGTCTTGTATTCTTGGTGCGATGAGATCAAAAAGTGGGCTCCATCTCTCAAGTACTACAGTGCACAGTGCCTTCTTCATCAATCCTGCAAAGCCATCAAAAGAGCCTTGCAGAAAGGCAACTCATCCCCAGGATAAGGACCAGAGCATTGTGTCCTCTCTCCGTGGAATTTCAGATCTTTTAGAAAGCCCTCCTGCCTGAAATCCTTCAAGGGGGTGGATTGGCAATCCCACCACTTTGATTTCGCAGCTTTCTGTGGCTTCACAGTGAAAGGGCCCGAAATCAGGATTTTAAGAATCCAATTTAATTGATCAATTCCAAACCTAAATATAAAACCGAAACCAAAATATAAAACCGAAACCTAACTAAATATAAAACCGAAACCAAATTACTATGGTAAATAACTAGTGAAATCAAGCCGAAACCAAAATATAAAATCGAAACCGAAATATAAAACCGAAACCAAAATATAAAATCGAAACACAAGTATAAATCGGAATTTGGTGTAAATCGCCATTTCCGGCCCTTTCAGTCTCATACCGTTGCAAATCAGATCTAACCGTTAGAACAACGGATGGAGAGTAAAATAAATTCGCGCCAAAAACTGGACGCATTTTTCTTCTTGCCCACAATTTATAGTTCATTTTTAGTAGCACTTCAATTGAACTGATCGAATCTCGTGCTTTGTCTTCCTTTCTCTTGGTCCTCATTGCCTTCATCTCTCCTGAGTTTGCTGCTCTTGTTGTTTGAGCCGACAATGCCGTCGTCTTTCTCCCATAATCAGGCGGCTGGTGGTTGGTTTGCTTCTGGCGAAGAAGACCCTCCAAATGCACCAAGATCCTCATCACTGTTCGCCTCCACCCGAAATATCGAAATTCAAAGCCAGCTGACAGTTGCCAGTACTGGTAAACCTCAAACATGGTCAACGGCACACAGAAACATCAGCCCTGTTCCTCCTTCCTCTGCATCAGTAGGATTTCCGACTGTGACTCCCAAGACCGTTGATTCTGTTGCTAAAACACCTTCCAACAGCAACCGCAGCATTGGCTCGATCGGAGCAAGCTCCACCACAACGACACCAAGTCATCTGGACCACAATTGGAACACTTTGGTTTCAAACATTCAATCGCCCAGTGAAGAATCACCCAGTTCAAAATTCAGCTCTGCCACAAGCACTAGCGACAACAATCACTCTTCTGCCATGGAAACAGAAAGTCTCGAAGAAGTAGCGCCACAAAGCTCCAAAAGTGCTAGCGACGACAATCACGCTGCCATGGAAACAGATGATCTCGAAGAAGTGGAACCGCGTCGCTCTGGTCGAGAGCGTACATCCACAACCATCAATGTCGATGGCTACGCCGTCAAGCGCGAGAACAACTACATCATGAAAGGTCTTTCGTACCAGTACGGCGTCGCCACCGAACAGGCGCAGCCATCCACCAAGCCTGCACCAAAGGCCAAAACCCAACAGCCACCAAAGCCTCGGGCCCCTGCTGTTGTTTCCGAGATAGAGCTTGCACGTCGCAAGAGGAAAGAAGACATTATGAAACGCAAAGAGGCCAAGCAACCGAGTCGTCAAAGTTTTCTGAAACATCATATGGATGTTCTAGAGCCATTCCTCGAACCAAAGGTCTTGGAACAAATCAAGAGCTGCCAGTCCTCGGCGGACGACACGGCAGCCGTTGACCCAATCTATCCACAACCAAAAGCTATCACGGCCACGATGCGAAGCTATCAACTTGACGGCCTCAATTGGATGAGCAAGATGTATTCTAAGAACTTGGGCTTCATTCTTGGGGACGAGATGGGATTGGGAAAGACGATCCAGACAATTTCGTTGGTGTGCCATCTCAAAGAACGCTTTGGTACCACTGGACCAACTCTCGTCGTTTGTCCCCTCAGTGTCTTGTATTCTTGGTGCGATGAAATCAAAAAGTGGGCTCCGTCTCTCAAGCACTACCGACTTCATCAATCCCAAACGGAAACGATGCAGCTCCCCGATTTTGCCCAATTTGACATTATTGTGACTACATACGAAATGGCCAAGGCAAAGAGCCTTGCCCACACTTGGGCAAGGCAAACCTTCAATCTGCTCGTACTTGATGAAGGTCACTTAATCAAAAACGTTGCGACGTTAGTGAGCCAAGGCGTTCGTAGGATTCACGCCGAGAACAGAATCATTCTGACCGGGTGAGTGCACTAATTTTGTTGTGTGTCACGCCATCATGATGGCAGCGATGGCAGCATGCCGCTCACATATCCTCTTTGCCTGCATCTCTCTCCCTCCAAAAGCACCCCGTTGGCTAATAACTTGACAGAGCTTTTTGCCTTACTGAACTTCTTGAATCCAACCGAGTTTACCAATGTGGAGCCGTTTGCGGAGGCCTATGATTTGACAACCAATGCAATCAACCCCGCGGCTCTAAACCAAGCCAGTAAACTTCTCAACTTGTTCATGATCCGCCGTCTCAAGAGCCTTGTGGAAAAGCAACTTTTGCCCAAGATTGAGACCAAAGTCTATTGTCCGCTCTCCAATTCCCAGGTAGGTGTAGGAAGTGCATGTCATGCCCATCACATGCAACGCCATCATCATGGCGGCATGTCGCTCACATAATGCTTTTACTGCATCTCGCAGATTTATTTTTACAAAGCTCTCCTCCTAAAAGATATCAGCATGTTGGCGGGGAATAAAGCAAACAAGGCTGGAGCCCTTCAAAACTTGATCATGCAACTTCGGAAGTGTGTGTGTCATCCATACCTGTTTCCTTTTGCGGAAGACCACAAGGCAGACACCAGCCTGGAGGAACTGGTTGGGGAATCAGGGAAGCTTGCAGTTCTTGACTTGTTGCTTCAAAGCCTCTACAAAAAGGGTACGTTCTGATTCACTGTCAAGTTGGTTTCATTCAAAAGGCAGCTGCTCACTCACATGCTGAACTCTGTTTCACCTAGGCCACCGCGTTTGCATCTTCTCCGGTTTTACGAAGGTATGTGCGAAGAAGAGAAGAAGGGCGAAGGGTGAAGAATAATCTACAACGAGGCTGTTGTAACAAGTTTGATCAGACAGTGAGACTCACGATCTGCTGTTTTTTTTAGGTTCTTGATATCCTGGACGACTATTGCACCGCGCGGGTAAGTCCAGGAAAGGAAAGGATAGCAAATTGAGTGTGGCGTCCAACGCTGCGCCATCAATATGGCAGCATGCATGCAGCTCACAATCGCGTTTTCCTGCATCTCCAAGGGGTGGTCGTTCTGTCGATTTGATGGGAGCACTTCTCGTGCTGAGCGGAAGTATCTGATTGATTCCTTCAATGCACCCAATAGCGAGAAGTTCCTGTTTCTCATGAGTACTCGATCCGGTGGGATGGGCATCAACCTACAAACGGCGGACACCGTGATCCTCTATGACAGCGACTGGAACCCTCAAGCGGATCTCCAGGCCCAAGCTCGTGTGCATCGACTTGGACAGCAGAAGAGAGTCTTTGTGTACAGAATGGTGACAAAAAACACTGTGGAAGAAAGGATTCTTCAACGGGCGGAGAAGAAACTTTACCTTGACAAGATGGTCATGCAGCAGGGTGATCTCGTTGACGATCAGCAGGTCGACGAAAAGAAATTGATGGAAACTCTGCGCTTTGGTGCTCAAGCTGTATTCGGTTCAGCTGGGCTCAAGATGGAGCTACCAAGCAAAGAGGATATCGAGATCTTAACAGATCGAAGCCGCACAGAGAGCTTTACGGGTGGGAAAATCAAAGGAGATGCTGATACCAATGTGGAGGATTTCGATGCAAACAAGAAATTCCGCTCCACAACAGATTTTGGAGGCATCGATTTCAAGGCGATCCGAGAGTCCCACCGGAGGCAAAAGCCCAAAGATTTCGGCGCGATCATGAACACATGGCGCAAGAAACGAGAACGGAAGAACCGAATCACGATGGTAAACGCCAAGGGATCTGGGTACGGAGCCGCAGTTCCGGTTTTGAAGTCCAATGACTACGATCTCGAAACGGGAGAGCAATCAGTTTTCCAAAGGGAACTTGGTGGTCGCGGTGGCAACTTTGGCAACGTCAAGCACAAACATTTGAAGGCAGGAGTTGATTTTCAAACGCAAGACGTTTGCCAGAGCTGCGGTGAAGGTGGCACTTTGTAAGTACAACTTCGAATTTGTACAATGCTTGCCCGGCTGTTGTCCATTTCAATGCTGACACTGCATCTCTCCTGGTTGAAGACTCTGCTGTCCACGGTGTCCAGTAGCAGTTTGCGTTGACTGTTTTGGAGGTACGGAGAAAGAGTTCATGTGCTGCAGCCATCACCATTGCAATGAATGTGGCAAAGGAACCCTTGCTGCGGGAGGGTTCATGTTTCGTTGCAACTGTTGCCCAAGAGCCTATTGTGAGGATCACTTGCCCGAAGGGTCTAGGATGTAAGTCACGCTGGACCCTGTTGCGGAATCTTTTGTTTTATCACTCTCATTCATCCCTTTATTCGGCCATATTGCTTTGCATACAACGTAGGCTGGAGAAATGCGAACGCATCGAAGAATTGGGCTACCAAATCAAACATGGGTAAGTGCCATGTATTTTATATGATAGTCGCATTTGTATCCTTGTATTCATCGTCTTGACTCCCCGTGCTTTGGCAGAATATACATTCATTGTTCGGATACTTGCGAGAACGTGGCCGTGAAAGAGTATGGGTGGAAGCCACCTTCCTCAAAGACGAGGGCCGTTTGTCCCGAGCCTCTCGATATTTCGTCTTTCTATGGAGGCCAGATCGACGACTGTATCGAGAAACCAGAGGATCTTGTCCTTCACGGGAAGAGGCAGCGCAAGAAACGGGTAAGTTCAGAAGAATGGAGACCATTCTGTTGACTAGCTAATCTTCTCACTTTGTGCTGCACCCCGCACATGCACAGGTATTGTTCGGAGATTTCGACCAGAAAGAGAATTCAAACGTAGTGGGATCGCTGAAAGCCGCATCTTCTGACGAAGCAGCGGTCACCAAGCCTGCTCCATTGTCAAGTGGACAGCAGAAGACTTACGCTGTCCCTTCCTCGGCGTTCGCGGGTGCTGCTTCCTCCGCTTTCAATGACCATGCCAAGGCAACAATTGGGATCAGCGCTCCCAAACTAGAGCCAACTGACTTTCGGGTCCCAGTCGATTCATACCATGTGGGCACTGCGGCCGGGCAACCCCCCACCGCGGTTGCTACTTCCCAGGCCTCGGACTCAGACTCCGAGTCAGGCTACGATACCGGCAGCGATGAAGAAGAAGACGAAAGGGAAGAGCTCGACGAGAGTGAACTATTGGCCGAATGCAATTCAACCTCCCGGGACAGGGACCTGTTTACGATCAGCTGGGAACAGCGCATCACCCAGCTAAAGAAATGGAAGAAAGCGCATGGGCATTTGAAAGTCCCCGTCGTTCGTGGTAGTGCTGATTTGGGTGCGTGGATGGCCGCACAACGATCCTTGTATCGAAAGGGAACGCTCCACGAAGCTCGTTTGGCCGATCTCCGTCGACTTGGAGCTTCTGGATTTGGTGGTTCCAATGAAGTTGCAGGTGCACTACCAGCAGGACAGCAGACCACTGTATCCCAGCTACCGCATGCCAACGGTGTCAATCCAAGCTTTACCTGGGAAGAGCGCATCACGCAGCTACAGAAATGGAAGAGAGTGCATGGTCATTTTGATATTCGAATCGGTCAGGATCAAACGCCCAGGCCCTTGGGACAGTGGCTGGCAGGACAAAGGCAATTGTTCAAAGCAGGGGATATGAGGATGGATCGATCGGCAATTCTTCGTCGAATGGGTGTGCCTGGCTTTGAGACAACAAGTAGCGCCACTACTCATCGTGCCAATCAGTCGAAGAAGATTGGTGCTATTGTGTCCACTAACCTCCAACCCAACAACGCCAAGGTCGGTGCAGTTGTCCCATCTACAGCATTTGCAGCTGCCGCGAGCGGAGTTCGCCCACAGTCCATGTCCACTGTCTCATCTGGAAACTTGGCCGCTTCCACAAGTGGTCCCAATGTGTCATCGTCTGTTCTTGGTTTGGCCTTTGCGGCTGCCGCCGCCGGAATTCCCTCTTCGGCCTTGTCGGCAAACCAAAACAAAGCAATGAATGCTTCCGACCGTGAACAACCCCCTGCCAAGCGTGCCAAAGTGGCCTCTTCAGGAACAAGCCTCCAACCGCCCCAGGAGGGATCGCTCTACACTGCGGTAATCCCGTTCGACCAAAGAACGGGTAAGCTCGGCGTTCTAATAGCCGAAGTGAAAGGCAGCGCTGTGTTTCTGGGTTACCAAAGTGTTGGAGATGGGGGGGTTCCGTCCGTGGCAGAGCTTCGGAAATCCTTTCACTCCAAGTATGACCGCATCGTGAGGATCAACGGTATATATACCAGCGGGTGCGGCCTTCAACACGTCATGGACTTGATAGGAGCGGCCAAGAATTCAGGACACAAAGTGATTTCCATGACCATGGAACCTGCTTTCAACTGGTTGGTCGAGACCAAGTCGTCGTAGGTGGTGCACAGGCGGCAAACAGCAAAACAATGCAAGTCATTCAGAAACAAAAACAACTCTTTGATCTTTTTGCAGCAGAACTAAATATATGCATAGTCTAGTACAAACGTTGATGGACGGAAACAAGAGTGCTATAGTACGCAACATTAGCTAGTGGCTTAAATGTGATGTAGCATGGCTAGATAGACTACAATTAGCTGCTAGACTAGTTGGTCAAACTCATGATAGCATTGACAAGATCTCCACCATTTTCTTTGAGAGCCTTGACTGCCTTTGCTCTCGAACAGCCGGCTTGACTCATGACAAGTTCAATATCCTTTCCTTCCACACCCGTTTCATCCAATTCTTCCTCTTCTGGAGCTGCCAAAGCAGGAACTTCCTCATCTCCCGGCATTTCAGGAGGTGCTTGTCCCATTTGTGGCATACCACCAGCGGCAGCCGCCATACCGGCAGCATCGGGTTGACGGAATTGCTTGGCAGCAGCGGCTTGACTGGCACTGGAGAGATCCTCGGATTTGGCTTCTCCAAAGACGACGTAGGTATCGGCGGTGGGGCTCTTGAAGACATCTGGTTTGTTGATGACAAAGAGCACGTTCTTGGATTTCTTGACCGTGACACGAAGGACACCAGGAACGGGACGCATTCCCAACTTTTGCATGGCCTTGCGAGATTTCTTCTCGTTACGGTTTTGCTTGGACTCGGGTTCTCCAGCAGCCATGCCGGGCATCATGCCAGCCATACCGGCGGCGGCAGCAGCAGCATTTTCATCACCGGGGGTGGCCTCGAGCTCGGGCACGTCGTCGACTTCTTCAATCTGAATGAAATGAACCGTGGATACAGCATGGGTAGCATGGGTATAGTGAGTTGCCAATAGTCAGTGAATTATCGTGTGGGGTACCGTTTGGCAGAGTCAAAATAGTATAGACAAGGCCAGCAAGACGAGATAATTGTCAACAAAACGAGATAAGAGAAGAAAGGAGATAGATAACGGTGAGATCAATAGGCTTCCATTTGGGTGGGATGTGGTCCGATTCAATCGGCATCCATGATGGCATATTGAAGTCGGTCTACGTGATGCTGGTACAAAAATCACGTGGAAAAGGCTCATTACCCAGGTCGGGTTTCGCTGGACGCAGCCAACAACATTTTGCCTCCAGATGTTTAAAAATGATACCATCAACTTCCACTTTCAAGGCACAAACAACAGCCACTTATCATCTCTGTTGTCATCGTGCTTACCTCGGGCATCTTGAATGTTGATTGTTTGTTGCTATGTGGCTGGCTAACAAGATGTTGAATGAGCTTCGTTTGTCAAGGAAAAAATGAAAGGGCTGAGTCGAGGTGTGGTTGCAGCCACACAAGCGAAAAACGTCATAGACGTGACTAATCAATCATTCCATTCCCCGTACAAAAACGCGCAAAATGCAAAGCGACCTTGCAGTAGCAATGCCTTGCTTTCTACCTGGGGCGAATCCATAGCAGTTCCATTCCTGGCATTGGTACCGTACGCAGTCAACTGAGTGGATAGGTCAGGTGTTGGAAAGCTTTTACCCTCCCAATTGGAGGCACTCTACTAGCTGGAGACTTCTGTGAATGAATGGCATTTTTGTATGCCAATTTTGTCTCTTTCACATCTTCCCTCTTGGGCTCTTGGGCTCTTGGGCCTCTGCCAGCATCCTCTGAGTTGAAGTCCTTCTTGCTAGAGGGGCGACAGTCATAGACCCACTCTTCTACCAGTAACAGTCTTCCCTAAGATTCAGCTAGCTGGTAAAGGTTTTACCTGGTACAGACTGCAACTCGGGCCCCTCAACACCTAAACTAGCTATTAAAGCAGCGTTGGCGTCCATTGGCTGCAATAATATTTTGGTTCACTCAGAACCCTTTCGGCCGAAGCCAATGCCACACCAAGAAGCACGAAGCACAACGATCCCAAGCAAAGCACTCGTCATTGTTGCCTGTTTCGAACCCATTTTCTCCTCTTGTTGACCGCTCCAAGACTACAGAATCGATTCAAAATGAACGTTGAGTCCATCAGAACCTGCTATCTGAACAACCTTTCCGACTTGCATGTGCTTGCGATTACCCGAGGCTCGCTCCGAGCGGTCAGCTTGTTTACATGGCAGATCCAATGGCACTGACGGATGCTGTGGTTGAGGATGCCTTCCGCTACGGGTCATCCGGTGAGGTCCTACGTTTTCTGATGGAGAAAAATGGACTCTCTTGTAGCGAAGTTTCGGAGCTGTTGGCGAAGCAATTCCTCGAAGCCGTCCCTTTGCTGAGGATGAGTCCTTCCAGTGCATCAGAGGCCATTTCGCATCTCATGGATCTGGTGCAGACCAATCCAAACGGAATTTCTAACCCAGATGTCTGTGGCCGCTTCTGTCCACTCAGCATGGTACTCTGTTCCGACGTGTTCCCTCAGAAGTTGCTAGACTCAATGATAGGAAACTTACCACAAGATGCTGTATTTCACCTGCGCAGTAACCATGACTTGAGATGGGATGAAACCTTCCACAACCGGATTAGGACATCTTTGGATGATTTGCGTTGCATGAAAACACTTGGATCCATCATGAGCAAAGTGGAGAGTATGTCGATGCACCGCCAACAGTTGACAGAACAGCAAGAGGTCAAGAAGCTACGGTACTTGCCATGTTGTTCCATACCACTACAAGGATCAAAAAGGTGCATATTGATTGGGATACCATTGACGCAGCTACTAGCGGTTGGGCAGTGCGGCAAATGATTGATCAAGCCAAGTCAAAGCTAGAAGACATTGAAGGAGGGCCTCCAATCACACTTTTCTCCATTGGACACCTCGACTCGGAGCCTCAACCTGAAGCTATCCGCAGCTTACTGCTGCCAATGAAAAATCTAATTCGGCTCGACCTTTTCTTTGGTGAACCACAGACAGTGAGTCATGAGCTGTGCAAAGCTCTCTGTGATTTGATAAAGCAGGGTAAACTTCAGGAAGTTGCTCTAATGGGGCCGACAGCGGCAGCAGGCACACTCTTACCCCTGCTCGATGCAGCGGACAAGAGCAATACTATGACCCGCTTGAGACTTGAGGATCTTGGGAATGAAGCAGAAGTTGAAATCTACCAGGATGAAATGCTCAGGATCCTTGATCACAATACGCAATTAGAGGCGGCTTTGATCTGTGATGAGATTGTGAATGCTTCAGCATTCACAGACAGCGTCAAAGCGGCAACTGCGCGTATCAACAATGAATGGTGCTGGCGTCAATTTGAAGGCAGCCGCAAACAGAGGCTCATCGACTGCAAAGCGCTCTTGAATATGTGCGGCCGTGGTAAAGCCAAAGCAGAAGGCACGCAACTTGAGGACATCGTTTGCATGATATCTCCTGATACTCTTGTGGACAAGATACAGTTCCTGAATTTTGAAGGTGAGGCCAAGCAGGAGCTTATCACAATTTTACAACACGGGCTGCTGCGCCAACAACCTGCGACATGGCTGCCACTACGAAAGGAAGCAAAGTCGGCACGTAGCAACAACGAGAGTGGGGCAAGTAGCACCGGTGAAACAAGGGGCACCCGAAAGCGCAAAGCCACAGGGCCTCCCGATGGCCACGGAGATCATGGGGCATCGTCTTCACGTTGAGGACAGCGAAGGGGCAAGGGAGGAAACAATGCTGTCGTGTAAGCTCCCTTCACCTACTCTTTTGAAAGTAACACCTTCTCTTTGAAAATAAAAGTTCTATATGTTTCTAATCGCACCGTAGTTTCATATCAAGTCTTCCCTGTCCTCCCCTTCCAAAGAAATGCGGCTAATACGAAGTGACCTGATCATCCCACATTCCTCGTTTCATTTGATTCGTTCAAGTCAACGTTGACAACCAGCATAGGATTGAAAATCACTCTCCATCACCCAAGCTCGCCTTTTATGGGCAACGCGACGGCCATTTCCACATGTTCTGTCGAGTCTGCGCTCTCGGTAACCAGGATTGCTGGGATCTCCAGCCCCCTTTCTTCATCATCCTGTTCTGCTTCTTCTTCTTGTTCAATCTCGCCCCGGTTGTCACGAACGGGCAAACCAATACAGTTACCCATGGAAGAAGACACTGAAATTGCCCCAACTTGTCGATTGAAGGATGCGTCATTGTTACACGCCATGTCCGAAGGTGATGCCAGCACGCGGGCTCCAACACTCGACAAGAAGATTGTCGTGTCTTCCTCGTCGTCGAGCATGATTGGCGACTGTGGTGCCGGTGGTCCTCTCTTGGCATGGATCGCCGTAAAGCCGGCAATGAATTCATCGACAAAATCGTATCCCACGCCTCCCTCAATGGCGGCCCGTATCAAGATCTCATCCCGATTCATCACGTCACTGGGGAGACCACAACGCGCTGTCCGTGTAGAGACGTCCCGGTCTAGAATTCCCATGGCTTGCTTGGTAATGAAAATGGGCACTCCTTCCTTGGCTGCGGTGAACAACTCGAGACAGCACCACATGCGAGAGTAAATGTTGGCATATTGTGTTGGTACAACCACCATGTACCCGCACGACATGTGTGGTTTGGACCGATATCCACTTTCCGTGGCATATTCCCGGTCAAAGCGCTTGACTTGTCGCATGTCTTGTCGACTGAGTCGCAGGGAAGGTTTGTTCTTGAAGTTGTGCAGAACTTGGGCAAATGGTCCTCGTAGTGGATCGTTTCCGAGCTGTTGATCAATGGTAACGCCGTCAAAAAACTCGCCCTCACTATTCTGGTAAATGCTGAGAAAGCAGACAAAGAGTGGCGTGTCCTCGTCGAGTGTGGTTCGCAGGGCATGGTAGAATTCCAGAATGCCTTCTTGCCATGTGTGCGAACACATGACCTGTACCTCCAGAGGGGACGCCCGGTTGATCCAGAGGGCATATCCCATCCCTCGGTTGGCAGTGATTGGTTTGATATAGCTTTCTACAAATTGGTAGACGGATAGATCTTCTGCCACAGACGTTGGACTTTGTCTGCCATTGTTGTTGTTGATTGTGGTGGTTGAAGGCAGCAGACCCGTCTCTTCCAGTAGTTCCCTGATTTGTCGGAGCGTGATTCCCCAATGTGTCGCCCGTACACCTCCCCGTTGCGGCCTTCCAGCGCCAATGGTATCTACTACTGGAGTCGTTGCTGTCGATTTCAAACGCCGGGCAGTTCCATCCCAGGAGAGCAGCCACTCTTCAAATAATAGAGCAATGGGCGTTTTGTCTTGCGAAGCGGTTGGTTCCAGGATGGTTTCCACGAGGAGTATCCGTTCACCAATAAAACAGCTGTTGGATCGAAGAATGGCATTGCCAAATCCCACACGTTCTCCTGGTTTCAAAATCAGTTGTTGTCGTCGTTTGGTTGTTGCTGTACTACTTGTTTCGTTGCACGTCTTCTCTTGTTCTTGTTCATCATCATCTGGGAAAATGACAGTTCCCCTTCCCATTGGCACCCAATCATTTCCCACATCCACCGAATTCAAGAGACCATGTAGTTGCAGGCAATAATGCTGGGAAACATTTTGAAAGTAGGTAATTCCAACGAAATGACGATCTTTCGTTGGCTTTTCATGATGAACTGCTTGGACCAGTGGATCACCGTGATTTTCCACCAACTCGCAAGACGGCAGCTCTTGTCGAATGATCCATTCGATGACGGCATTTATTACGATCCACAGAGTGTGTCGGGGCGACCAATCTTTTTGAAGACAAGCCATGTGTGGATTAAGCAAGGACGGCCCATGAGCTTGCAGTAATGGGTGTAGTGGATGCGGTGCCAATAAGGACACTTTTGGAGCCTTGAGCGGAAAGTCTTGGAGTTCAAGACCAATGCACCAGCAGCTACTACATGTACTGTCTCTTGGGAGCCTCACGCGACAATCGTACGGCAGCACATCTTTGTCATCTTCGCTTGTGGCTATTGAGGCGACTGCATCTTGCCGCTGTAGTTCTTCCAGGTCGCGACGAACTCGCTTGGACTGGGGCATCCTACTAGTAGTAGCGATCGATTCATTTGGAAGCTACTATGATTGTCGTAGCAACAACATTGAAATTGCCTCTCCCACACCCATCCCAGCCTCGAGCAACCGAAAATTCGGAAGCTAGGTGTTGTGGAATGAGGCAGTCCCTGATGTGACTGACTCAGTGAGAAAGATCGAAAATCTAAGATCCCACGGCCTTCCACCGGTTGAGTCAGAAGACACAATACCAGATTGAGACCGTACTATTCTCTAGCTAGAGGACAGCAACTGAAACAACAGCCAACAGACATAAAGCACCCTACACTCTAGCTAGCTAGCAACACAATAGACATATTCATCATGACGGCACCGGAGCAAGATATGAGCGAAAATAATAATGAAGAAGATGATTCGGAAATGTCGTATGATTCTGAAGATGACGACGATTCTTCCTTTGATTCCGATATGGAAAACGAAGCGCAACGACTCATGGACGCCTTACAAGCAGAAAATGATGCGCTGAAGGACGCCTTGCAACAAGCAGACAATCGTGCAGCAGCAGCACCCGCAACTCCTGCCAAGCCTCCCCAAGAAATATGGGCCGACTTTGTCGGTTCCATTGAAAAGTGTGAAAATGCTTCCCTCAAGGTCACCGACACACTCGTGGCGTGGGTCGCCGAAACCACAGCAGCCGACACTAACGAACGCTTAGTGCTGGTAGAATCTCTCGTTACCGACATGATACGGGCCGTTCAAGCAGGGTTTGTCATTATTCACGTTATTTTGGAGCGCAACTTTTTGTTGTTACTCAATCCAGAACAACATACACGCTTGTACCGGGCCATCTTGACCAAACATGCGTCCACCATCACCTATTGGAAGTTGGGATCGGACGATTCGACCGATGCCTGTGGGATTCCCACCACGGCGCTGTTGACAGCCATGTCGTCGATCGCAGGATGGACCAATTTAACCGAGCTGGAAATTAGAGGCCTGGAACTCCATACTTTGGCAGATATGGAACGGATTCTCCAGTTTCTTCAGCGGGCACCCAAAATTAGGCAATTCAATTTGCTAGGATTGGTCATGAGTGACGCTTTGGTAAACACAGAAGGGCTTTTTGACAAAGTTGTCACCACAGTGCAAGCGATCACGGACTTTGATGAACTGCAGCTGTGTCGTCGAGTAGATGATGCTCGAGCAGGTGGCAGCAGCAACCACAGTGGGACGTCGCTACCGCCACTCATCTCTCCAGTGGCTCTGGAGAATATGCTCTCGGTAAAACAAAAATGGTGGCGCATGGCTTTCGATGGAATGTCCCTGGACGACCGACACTTATCAATCATTGGTTCGGCCCTCAAAGGGAATAAGGATTGCAAAATGAATGATTTACTGAGCATCCAGGATAACCCAAAGGTAACGTCCAAGGGACTACATGCACTCTATACCATTTGCATGGCAAAACAGCGCATGGGACTGGTCCTGTCGGATGATCCGTCCTGGGTGGCTACGTTTGACCTGGTGCGACCCCTCAACAATCTGCACCGGCGTTTGGAATATATCAAGGAGGATGGCAGAGGCTATCGCTCCAGCGACTCTTGGATCAAGTGGCTATCAGTCGTTGGGAACTTGCCTTGGATTGGGGAAGCTCGCAAACTGAACTATATCTGGTTTGCTTTGCTGGAACAACCCGAGTTGGTTGCAAATTGCTCGTTAGTTGGGCAATCTAGCTAGACTAAGCAAGGTTGCAAATCTCACATTGCAATAACTCAAAGCCTAGCTAGTTTCTACTCTTTCTCTCGTACGTAGCAGCATTGATATTACGCCCATCCCGACACCAAGCTTGACCGTCGGAAATTCGGAAGCTGTCCATCGCAAAAGAGAGGAGTGGGAAGGCTGCCAAGGCTTAACTTCTTCGAATGGATCAAGGTAGCCCAGCTTCTGGTGGCCCACTACGATCTTATCAGAATGATTGAATCTTCAATCATTCCAACCGGGTTGGATGGATCCCTGTCATTGCGGCCCAACTGTTCATTGCAAACTCAACATTGTCTGCGCCATGTGCACACTATGATAGCGTCGGGAGGCCTCTGCAGTCCTTGTTTGCTAGCTATAAGCTAGATCCGTACCGTATCCAATATATGGACAAGACCGCGCAAAAATAACTTGAGTCGCACTCGATGTCAATGATAGCATGGATGTAGTCATCACTTGCTGCATCACTCCATACATTTTTATTTAATCCAGTCATTAATCCATACGCTGTATAGTACTATAGAATGGGAACACCCGTCACAAGGCTAGCAATCGCTACACCCGTCGATGCCAAACAAAGCCAAGCGATCCATCCCAATGCATATTGAAAGGCAATGGCAGCACTTCTGGAACAATCCAATTTTTGTTCCGTCGCTTCCAACATTTCCTTGGAAAGTTTCGACATGGCTACAGCAGCAGCCACACGAAAGGGTCTCAGGACGGTAAGGACTGCATACAAGGACGCATAAGATGTCAACAGTGATTTCCATTGACCCGGTGCCAAGGGTGATAAACCTGTACGTTTGCAGGACAAGTACCAAGCCATGGAAAGACTGATACTTGCATTAATTTGGCTCAAAATGGAATACGACAAGGCAAAGGTGACCCCCAAATTGGATATTCGTTGTGTATCCAGGCCAAACAAGTTGCAGATTCCTTGATACATTCGTTGGAACGGCCCCATGGTTTCAAAGTATTGTGAAATTCGTCCCAATGGTCCCAAGGGAGTACAACTGTTTTCGACGCTGTTCAAAAAATATCCACGAGGACAGTCATTGTCTTGGACGTCTTCTTCGCTGTAATTGGTTGCGGCGGCGGTAAAGATGGATACAGTCTGTGTTCTTGACCGTCTTGTGGATGATGAAGACGACAAGGGCTTCATGCTCGGGGAACGACACAATGTAAAAGGCTTTGCAACCATGAGGGATTGACATGTTGTGCAACATAACAGCACTAGCATGAGCATCGCTAATGGAAACTGCACCCAGGGGTTTCTCGGTGAGCCCATCCTGTCGGGCTAGTGTGTCTATTCAAAATAATAAGGATAATGGAGTCGTCGATACCAACATCATTCGCTTTCAATCAACGTACTACGGTAGTAAATGACAAGGGCGAGGAGGGGGAAGCTCAGAACGCTACCGTTGTACATGGCATTGTAGTACAGTACGGTAGGGGCACCCAGAAGTACCGGTACCACTCGTAGACCTCTCTCAAGCTAGAATCTGATGTCTGGCAGAATTTTGAGACAAACCGGAGCGAGATACATAGCAGCCCTGCTGGCCAAAATGTGAAAAATGACGAAAAACACCATCAATGTTCTTTAGAAAAGGAAAGATTCTTAGCTTGGGGGCGCTGTCTTGACCTAGCTACAGTAGGCACCAGAGCCTAAGCTTTCTGACCATTTATGTCTCCATGGATCCCACAATGCCAAGCCCTTTGGTCCCATGGTCCTCAATTAATATTTCTCCCCTGATCCCACCGAACCGAGCCCTGAATTTCCATTTTTCTTTGCTGAAGCCTGGCCCTTGCTGGCTTCCGTAGATAACCTCCCTACTCTAAACCCCCTTGTCACACCAAGAAGGCGAGAAAAGGGTGATGAAAGTTTTCTGTGGCTTGACTCAATGGAGCCTTGGGGGTGCTTGGACGTTCTCAGTGTACTGGATCTCTGAGCGAACCTCATAGTTGCTAACTGGGTGGCTGTAATGTTGGGGCCATGGCTCTTGGTGGTGCTTTTGTTGTTCAAAGAAGAATTCATTGCGATGCTGTTTGTTTGGTTGTTTGTTGCTCACTTTCACTTTAGATTCCTACTTGGGAATTGTGAATGGTCTGTGCTTTGGTAGATGGCATATTCATTGACTACCTCTTCTACAGCCGTACGTTTGGCCGCCCGCTGAACATATTGATGATTTTAAGGCTAACCATTTTCGTTAGGACCAAACTAATACTAGCGTACTGCAGCTAGCTTGAGCTGTAGTACGGTACTGTAGTGCTAGCTACCCGGAGGACGGTACCGCTTACCGGTACCGTACCGGTACCGGTATGGAGGAAGATTTTTTAATCATTCCATTGGCGACCCTCCGGTACAGTACGAAGTACTGGTACCGTACGGTATGACGCCATACCGGTATACATGAATGTGGGGTCATTGCGGCTGAGCCAAGAAATCGCATCGGCGAGCAGTTTACCCCGGACAAAGTGAACGAACTCTAATAAGCCCTCCTCATGCAGGTGAGTGAAGCGGCGGGTTTTATCCGTGTTGTACCGCATACTATCGCCATGGACAGGGCTGTGCATAAACGTGAGTCATACTACTAGACAGTTCGCTTCACAGCGGTACCGGTACCATGGTACCACCACCGAGAAGATTGCTCAGCACCGATGATTCAATGATTTGGCCGTTCCCAATCTGCATTCCGTAGCACATTGCTGCGATGCGACAGTATCTTCCAAAGTGAACTTTGTTGAAAGCATTGTGTCGTGTGGATATTCATGCTTAACGTACCGTGCAAAACGCTCAGACACCCCGCAACCATTGTGCCTCACCCCTGTCTCCGTGCAGCGAACGGTGCAACATAACGTCTGGGAAGCTCGGTCTTGGAGATGAGCTCACAAAGCCAAACCTTACAATCCAGCTTCGACCAACTCACATTCTCTCTTGACAGTAAAAGTAGATAACGAGGCCTTGCACCGTCTCCTATCCCCTGCCGCTCTCAACCTCCTTCCCTCACTCCGAATCGTCCAAATCAAACTCGGGTTTCTGTGTTGGATTTCCGCTGTCAAACATGTTTTCCAAGTTCTGCTTGCTTTGTCTTTTCCTGGCTGCCATTATGTTGCCTGCTACTCTGGCTGTTCGATATGAATCTGGCTCTATCAACTATGGTTTGCCGGCTGAAGGCACTGATAGTGTTAGCATTGAGGTTGATGACACTTTTGTCATCTGTGACGTGGACATTGAAGTGGACATCTCGCATTCATGGGGTGTTGATGCCCTTGAAGTTGACATCTATCTTGACGTTGACGGAGAAACAATCAATTCAGTGGACCTTTTCAGTGAAGATTGTGGATACAGTACTACAAGACTTGATGTTGTTTTTGATGACTCCAGCAGTGCTGCAACTAATGGTGCGGGCGTAAATAGTGATGCCTGCACTACTAGAGGTATTTATGTTCAGCCAGATGGGGATCTTTCTACATTCAATGGATACTCTTCAAGTGGCAGTTGGATACTTGAGATCACAGACCATGAAGTACTTGACAGTGGCACGCCTCGTTCATGGGCTGTGATTCTCACACCCTGTGAGAGCGATGTGGTTGATGGTGGTGGTGGCGGCAGTGGCGGTAGCTTTGGAACCCATGCCCCAACAGACACCTCTGCTACTTCCAGTCCCACTCCTAACCCCACTGTTAGCCCAACTTCTAGCTCCACGGGCAACCCCACTTCTAGCCCCACAAGCAACCCCACCTCTGATCCAATCAGTGATGTTGCTGGCACTGGTGATCCTCGCTTCAAGACCTGGGCTGGAAAGTGGTTTGATTTCCATGGGGAATGTGATTTGGTCTTTATCAGCAGCCCCAAGTTTGGACAAGGCACTGGATTGGTGATTCATATTAGGACAAAGGCTCATTACCAGTATTCCTACATTGAGTCGGCTGCTGTTCAAATTGGATATCTTGGAAGTTGGTGCCTATGGTGGATGTATGTTGGATGGCATTGCAAATGCTGAATTAACAGTCATTGACAAGTACAATCTCACCCATGAGAAGGTCAACTCCAAGCACGATGTATTCACTGTTGAGCTTGGTGAGGGAAAGAAGATTGTAGTCCAATCATTCAAAGACCTTATCAGTGTCAAGACAGTCGGTGCCAGTTTTGAGGAGTTTGGTGGCAGCAAGGGTATTTTGGTTGAATTTGGTACAGGCAAGTGGTTTGCCCGCAATGGCACTGTCATGTCCGATGCTGATGCCTTTGGGAATTAATGACAAGTTCATGATACAGGGCCCAAGCTCTTCCAGGTCACCAGGTTCCCCCATCACCCTGTTCAGTGCACCATGCCAAGTGCCACTCATGTAGGACGTCGTCGTCTTGGTGAATCCATTGCTGAAGCAGCTGCAGAGATTGCTTGTGAGCACTGGGGAGACCTAAAGAACCAATGTGTCTATGATGTCATGGCTACTGGAGATTTGGAGCTTGCAGAAGCTGGAGCATTCTAAATCTAATGTGTTACTGAGGATACCCGTACCGGTATGGTAACTGGTACCTGGTACCGGACAAACTGAATTAAAAGTTTTTCCTTGATAAAAAGTTTGAATTTGAACTGGACCAGAGCGAGATAGCAGCCCTGCTGGCCAATGTTTCGAATTACAATGTAGTAAAAAGGACGAAATCCTTATCAAAGAAGGAACAAAGTCACAATAGGGTTAGCTTTGGGAGGTTTGCCGCCATCAGGCTTTGCCCGCTTTCCGCAACACACTTCTTGGCGGGCAACACTGGAGCCAAGGTCGCCCTTCCCTTTGGTTATCGTCGAGACATTGGTTCCGCTGCCTGCTTCTTTCATGACGACTGCGGAAAAAGAGAAGACAGCGATGTCGCACTTTTTTCACTCGATCGCCACTCGGATCACTATTGACCAAATAATCCAGCAACAAAGATAGGATATTCCATCTCTTTCGAAACAAACTCTATTGCATAGCATCAAAGACCAATCTGTTGCTATTAGCATCATCTATCAGCTTATCGGAACAAACATAGTGTTGGAAGTAGAACCTCATCTGTCTCCAACATCAATCAACAAAACAAAAAAGAATTTCTCCAATTGAATTGAATCGAATCGTAAACCACCACCATGGCGCTCGTCAATGTTGTCAATATGGTAAGCTACCCTACTGATCCCGCGTCTTGGTTGATCCTTGTTCTCTCTTGTTATCTAACCGTTGCATTTATCCATCTTCCTCCCATCGATATATTTTATGTAGGTCGTGTTGGATAATCCAACGACCTTTAACAATCCCTTCCAATTCGAAATCACGTTTGAGTGTCTTCAGGAGCTAGAAGACGGTAAGCTTATGGTATTGGTGCTCTTCTATTCGACGCGCCAGTGTCATTGCTTTCTGCCGTTTCCAACAATGACACTATCTCACCCAAACCACCATCTACCTCTCGTTATCTATCTATCTTGATCTTTTCTACCTACTAGATTTGGAATGGAAAGTGCTCTATGTCGGATCTGCCCACGACACCTCCAAGGATCAGACACTCGATGAAATCCTCGTGGGACCCATTCCCGTTGGCGTCAACAAGTTTGTCTTACAAGCCGACGCCCCTGATCCTGGGCAATTGCCGCCAGATGAAATCATTGGTGTCACGGTCGTCTTGGTAACCTGCAGCTATCGAGAAAAAGAATTCCTTCGGGTGGGATACTATGTCAACAATGAATATCTCCATCCCGATGGACCCCCACCCGTCAAAATGGGAGAAGACGGACAACCCTTGCCGCCCCCGCCACCTCCCAAATACCCCCAGCTAGACCTCACTCATGTCCAACGGCAAATACTAGCCGACAAACCTCGAGTCACCAAGTTTGCCATTCCGTGGACCGACGAAGAAGCCGCCAAGCAAGCCGAACAAAAGAAAAAGGACGACGAACAAGCAGCTGCCAATGCGGATCCCAATGATACGACCATGGCGCTAGAGAGTCCCACCAAAGAGGCACCCGGTACTCCACAAGGCGGTACTCCACAAGGCGGAACGCCGCCGTTGGAAGAGGAAGAATCACCAATGGGGAAAATGATGATGGCGTCTCCCGGGCGAGAGGCCACCACGACAAATGAAACCGCGGCACCCATGGATATGTAACCACCACAGAATCAATCCAGTTGTGTACTTACTATTCACCCAACAAACAACGGCCAAGGGTCTGTGAGCCGTCTCCCCAGTTCCATTGAACGTCAATGGTCGACTATTTCTTCACTCTCTGCTGCCAACTTAGGCACTGCTACAACTTGCTTGTTAGCGCTTTTGGGGCTATATTTTTATTCTATTCCAACTTTACTAAACGAAAGCTTTTCTGCAAACGTGTAGTGGTTTGACAGTAGCATTAGTCTCGTCCCGTCTGCAAACGCACGAGGCGAGGAAAGGAGACGGATCAAATGCGTCGGAATATTCTCAGGCATTCGTTTCCTTTATCTATAGCCGGACATGGACCACGCGAAGTACCGTAACTTCCGGTACCAGTACCAGTGCGCTCGTCCCCGTTGGCACACCCAGAAGTGTGTGCGGCGGCAGCTCCTCTGAAGCAAGTATTTTGTCTAGTCAGGTTGAAGATACAGGATGCCTGAGACTAGCTAGTCTAGCTAGGAAAGCCATGTCATGCGGCATCCTTACAAAATCAGAACTACGATGATCTTACCACAACATGCTCCTGTACCAAAGCGCCGCCGTTTCCGCATCGCAAATGGTTCATATATCGTCCTTCAGACGAAGCTGAAGCAACGTATCCGTTGGAATGCACACGTACCCAGCCAGAAGTTTCTTATAGTTTTGGGAAGTTTCCCATCCTTGGATGAGGACCTCCACAGTTTGAGCAACAAGCAGAATACAGCTGGAAAATGCACGGTAAAGATCCAGGCTTCCCCGGAGGAACTCAAGGTAGTATTCGATTTCCTCATTTTGAACCTTCCCCGTCTCGTCCGCCGCAAGCTTAGGCGTTGCTGCAAATGCTGTCGTCGTGACCATATGATCTCTCCGCACCTGCTTTCCAACATGGTGGTAAACTCTGGACGGTGATCCAACATGCGTTCATTGTTTTCCACGACGGGGGGGCGAACAGCACACCCAGAAGCACGGTACGGTAGGTTATTTGCCCCTACATGGGACCAGTTCCGCTGTACGCATAGAAAGCTGTGCAAGCTGTCTCTGAAGTGTCCTTCCACTTCTGTGGTAAGCTTTCCCAGTTGATCGCCTTTATGCGCAGAGCCTCTTTAGGCAGCTAGCTAAAACGAACTCTCTTTCGTAACATGTATCCCACTGTTTCAAACGACTGAGGGCTTGCCACCGGTACCGATTAGTCCCGTCTAAAAGATCCACTCGTGAATAGACCAAGGCTGAGTCATACATGTTGCCAGCTGCTCACTTTTTCTCTTCGGTTCTTCGAACCTTTCCTCGGGCAAAGATGAGGGCGACAATGATGACATCGCTATCCTGAGGATGCGAGGTGCGAGGAATATTCTCATGTTTTCTCTATAGGCCTCTGTTGAGAATCTTGAAGCGATTCGATTCCGCGCTCTGGCCTTGAACCATGTTGTTGTTACCTCGATCAATAGCATGCATTATCATTGCTGTGGTATCGCCCAGCCCCTGTGTCAACGGTTTTGAGGTCACATCAAATCCCTTTCAGAACGTCAACAGAAGGGAAGCATTGGGAAGTGCAGCGGTCGCCCTTTCCACCCTGATATCCCAGCCTTTAACGGCATCAGCAGCTGAAGTCGATAATACCAATAATGTGAAGAGTGAGAGTGTAGGTTTCCGAGCATACAGCGTCATCCCAGATGCTTCAGCATCCTTGAGTCCAGAAATCATGGCAATTGAGGTACGATAAGGCAGCAAGCGTGGATACGGCTCTATAGTGTTGCGCGGTTGCTGTCGTCCTTATACCCCGTAACTGCCGTCACAACTATAGAAATCGTCACTCCTCAAGGAAGTAGCTGGTATTGGCAACAAGGGTGGAGGGGCGCTTTGGCTGGGAGAACACCACAACTCCATCAAGGATCATGACTTGCAAACAGACCTGATCAAAGCAATCTACCTGCAACGACAACTAGTCGGTACGGAAACTCCACCAGCAATGGCCATTGGACTGGAACAGGTCCAAATTCAATTCCAGTCGGCGTTGGACGACTACATTCAAGGCAAGATCTCTTTGCAAGAAATGAAATCACAAGTTCAGTGGGATAAACGATGGATTTGGCCGTTTGATGGATATGCACCCATCTTTGAAACAGCCAAAGAGCTTCAGATACCCCTCATAGCGTTGAATGTCAACTCGGAAGATCTAGCCGAAGTGGAACGGGCTGGTCTTCCTGGACTGCCTCAAGATCGATTGAAACAATACATCAAAGACCCGTAAGTCGTCCTTGGAGGTAGAGTGACAATGTTATATTGCGATCGTTGGTGGTTTGCTTCTCACACAGAACACAACTCAAAAACCGTGCAGTCAAGGCTTTGCAGCTTTTGCCCAGCAACGAGAGTTCCGGGACTATGTCAACTATGTCATTGCTCCATCCTACGACATGCACGAACGAATGGGACTCCTCAAAACGACAATATCAGGTCTACAACTTGAAGAGAACATGAGCTTTCGCAACTTTTTCAGTGGTCGGATTCTCTGGGATGAATCCATGGCATCGCATGCCCACTCGTGGGTGGTCGACAATCCTGGAGGACTCCTCATTGGTCTGGTAGGTGCCGATCACGTCAAGTTTCGGGACGGCATTCCTGGACGATTCGCCCGCATGGCCAGCAACGGTATGACCTGCACGTCAGTCATGCTCAATCCAACGTTGATTGATACGCGACCGTCGGGCACCGTGGGCAACGTTGCCGATGCAGCATCCTCGCAATATCCCGATAGAATCACTCTGCAGCTACGATATCTCAAAGATGGTGTTGACGTCCAAAACCCAGAGGAGAGACGGAGTCCCGAAAGCACGGCAGGTGTACTACCCTTGGCAGATTACATTGTGATCAGTTGATAAACTATTGCTTATAAGAATATTTCTTTGTCGTCTGATATTAAATGTTTTGTGGATGGGTGTGGCGACAGATGATGGAAAGTCCGCGCTTAGCAACCAATTTTTCTTCCTGTGGGCCACAAAAAACATGCCTTTTTGCCCAGCAGGAAATCCAGTTCGACCAGTACCGGTACTGTAACCAAGAAATTATTCTCTTCTGTATTGTGTGCATTAATTAAAATGTTTAGCTATTTATACCTGGTAGAGTACGGCATGACTTCAGTTCAAGCTGTACCCACCTCGTAGGTCGTGCAGATTGTTGTTCAGGGAAACCACTCTATGAACCTCCTGTTGGTCTTTGGTTTTTGTTCCGGGTGTCTCCTAGTCTGTGGTTGTGCAGTTTATCATTTGCTCTTCTGCAGTACCTCTGTGCTTACTCTGGTGGTTTGGTGACATCTCCCTGAAGCCTATATTGTTCGACAACCTCCTTGTCCATGTATTTCAACATGAATTCCATGGCTTCATCAAAGTCGGGGATGTTTCTAATTTCGAATTTGGCTCCATCTCGCAGGAACGCAACCATGTCACCATCACCAAACAGTCTCTTGGCCGTTCTGACTTCGACGATATCGGGGTATACAATTTCGGACATGTCATTTCCTCCCACACCCGAAGTGACCCGAATACGGCGAGATGTGATCTTGTAGCGGACCCATGCTTGTCGCGCCCATGCGGCTGCGGCGGGAACAATTCCAATGACAGTCAAAATGGAGATGGTAGGAGCAATGGTTTCCGTAATGGCAGGTGGTCCCTCATAGTACACTTCTTCGGGAGCCAATGATGCCGCTGATTTTTTGGCACCAGTAGGAGCTCCTCCCTTGCCACTCTTTCGCTTGCCTCGTTTCGCCTACAAAATAAAGTGGAAGAACATAAGGGTGAGATACTGCAGCCACTTTTTGAAATTTTGTTCAGTGTGAATTAATCATTTGTAATTCTGTCTCACCTTGGCAGCTCCCTTTCCCATCTTTTCTACCTTATCAAAAACTTCTTCATCTACTTTTTCTTCAGTGGCATTTTCTTCGGAGGAATCAGCTGCCTCTGGAGGAGGCACGAAAACAGCTTCTTCCGTGGGCTTGTCAGCCAAAAATAGTGCAGGAGATGCAGATTGTCTTTGCAGCGAAAGTGGTCGTGCCGCAGGGGCAAAGGCACTGCAAGTAGAAGCAGCTGCCACCAGCAAAAAGGCAGTCAAGGCAGATGTGGATTTCATTGTCAGTGGATCGTTGCAACAACTAATTAATTGAAGGGGGATGATATGGAATTTCTCCTTTATGAATTTGTGACTCCTCTACCAAGGCACAAAACGAAGCAATCTAAAGTGAGTATCCTCTTCCTGATGAATCACTCGCTACTGTGTTGGAGACACAACACGTGGGCTTTCAAAAAGGAGTCAGCAGTCACATCAGCAACCCAAAGACACGAAGCACAACAGCAATGCTTCTTCTGAATCAGTTTCCATTCAGAACGGATCAATCAACGTCAGCGATGGTTGTATCTTTCATTCGTGCATGACGTCACTGAATGAGTTTCTCGTGCTGTAAATTCTCTCTCCATCCATTATTTTGCTGGATGTTGTTTTCCTTTCATGCCATCATCAGATCAGAAGTAGCCCCTGAGCCCGACAGGCAAAGCAATTATCATAGCTGGGATGACATTTCAATTGGCACTCGGCCTTTGTCTGATGATGAGTGTCTTTGTGGCTACAGCAAGGGCTTTTCTGGTTCCTCCTTTATTATTTACGAGACATTCCAACCAAGCAATTCGAAGGGTAGGGAAAAGAAACCATGGTCAAATAATATTTTCCACGGAACTACCAACCAGAAGAATATCTAGATTCTGCAGCAGTGCTGAAGACAAGACTGGGGACAAGACACATCTCCGTGTCGAGAACATATGGAAATCATCCATTGATCGGTTGGAGCAACAAGGGGTATCGGAACCAGAATGGTCCGTGGCCCATCTCTTGGCAAGCGCCATGGATCTTCCCTGGGCGAATGGGTTTTCGCAGCTGTTGACAAGGATGAGTCAAGCGGATGATACCGCAACGACAGCCGTATTATTGACCACAAGACAATACGAAGACTTTGAAGCCATGCTGGAACGCCGGCTAAAAGAGGAACCCATTCAATATATTTTGGGAAAATGGGACTTTTTACACTACGAACAATTAATCGTAAGACCTCCTCTGCTGTGTCCCAGACCCGAGACAGAAGAATTGGTGGAATTGGTTCGAAACGACATTCAAAAGCAACAACAACAACAAACTCTGGATACAGATACAATCCACATTTTGGATGTGGGTTGCGGTACCGGTGTGATTGGAATTGCCTTGGCGGATGCCATTCCCAATTCCCACGTACACGCAATTGACGTCGAACCCATGGCCGTGGCAACATCCCTGGAAAATGCTCGACTTGTATTATCCGACCAAGCCGAACGGTATGCGGCATTCCAAAGCAGTGCTCAAGACCATACCACCGTGCAACCGTATCATGTCATTGTCAGCAATCCACCGTACATTCCACGATCCGATATGGAAACCCTTTCGCGGGATGTGGTCGACTACGAGAGCGATCTCGCTCTGTGTGGTGGCGACGATGGTATGGACGTGATTCGGTCCATACTCCACAAATGGGTCACGGAATGGGGTACACCCAACAGTGTGTGTTGGATGGAAGTGGATCCCACGCATCCGGCTCTGTTGCAAACCTGGTTATTAGAGCAGCAGAATGGGAATGTGGTGGTACTGGAGTCCATCCACCAGGACCTGTCTGGTCGTGATCGATTTGTGAAACTCTCGTTGCGAAAAGATCGTTGAGAGCGCTTCGATGCTGGTCTTCTGCGAATAGCTGGCAGATGCGAGCAAGTATTTTTGGCATGCAGATTGCAGCACTGCTCTGCAAAGTTTGGAACAGTACATCATGCCTCTAGAGCTAGATACGGGTATACCAATTTGGCTCAATGATGCTACTAGTACCAGGTACCGGATCCAGAAGAGGATGTGGCATTCCTACTTGCACAAGGATATTGGATGACTTTGTCGGATTGCTTGCGCTTTAGTGACATGCCCAAAGCACAGACTGACAGCTACGGGCAACTGAACCCCAGGAACTATAGGTTCTTCACTTCATAATTTTTCGAGCGGTTATTCTACTATGAGTTAGTGGAGGATTAGCCTGTTGTTGCGTTGCTCTACTTCTGTTTGCCATCCTCTACGTATTCTCTTTGTGAGATAATCTGTCATTTCGATTGGATTTGTTTCGTAATAGATAAGGAGACCAGACACCTGCTGTAGTCGTCGGGAGCGAAATTGCACGGTGGATGGCTCTTGAGAACCTTTACTCCACCATCGAAGGTCCAGCAACCATCATGCGCTCCCAACCAGTGGGTTTCTTGGAGACAACTTGAGGAGGAGGCGATCGCCTGCTTCCTACTTTGGTCGAGACATCCATGGGCTGCGTGACCTTCTCCCTGGCATCACGCAACGACGCCAACTGGACTTCCTTATCTTGCTTGTCCTTGACGGCCCGTCGACGCTTCTTCAAAACGGCAAATCCCCAGTTGCTACCCAACGCCGACACCGACGAAGCCATCATCAAGACGGCGAGCAACAGACACAGGGATACAAGCTTATTGTTTGTCATGGTCAAAGTGGAAACTATAGAACAACTTTATGGAAGTTGTTCTGTTATGGGGAGGCGATCTTTTCAAGAAAATTTCAAAAGAACAACAATGCCATCGTGGCCTTGCCGTTGATGTCTTCGCGCCGTTTCAAGAAGCAGCTGTCGGAGTGACAGTCGCCACGTAAGCAAAAGATCCCTGCCTTGCAGGCGTTCATTTCTTTGCTTCTCAAAGCGAAGGCCTTGGTTTCTAAAATTCAGTTTCAAAACAGCTCTGACAGTTTATGGATTCGTTCGCAATCACAACTCGTGATTAGCTTACCGCTTTCCATTTACTAATCCCAGCCAGGCCGAAAGCACCTTGTCGGTGGTTGTTGGATGCTCTCGAAGCCAACATCTCCCGTGTCTCGGTTATCACATCCCCTCTTTATCAAGCAACCCGACCAAGATGCCCATGAAGACTCCTGAATCCGTCCTCAAGAAGGAGGCAGCTCAAAAGAAGCAAGCCGACGCTAAGGCTGCCGCTGCTGCCGAAGCCGAGAAGAAGGCCGAGACGGATATTGTCAAGTTCAAGGCCAACTCCAAGAAGTACGACGAGGAGTACGAAGCCGCCCAGAAGGAAGCCATTGAGAACCGTCGTAAAGCCAAGGCATCCGGTGGTTTCTATGTTCCCGCCGAACCCAAGGTTGCCCTTGTGATTCGTATTCGAGGTATCATTGGAGTGCACCCCAAGGCCAAGAGGGTGATGCAGTTGTTCCGTCTCCGCCAGTTGAACAATGCCACCTTTGTCAAGTTGAACGAAGCCACCATTCGTATGCTTCGTCTCATTGAGCCCTATGTGACTTATGGATACCCCACTCGTTCTACCATCCAAAAGCTCATTTTGAAGAGAGGATTTGGAAAGCTGAATAACCAACGTATCCCCCTTGGAGAGAATACCGTCGTAGAAGAGGGATTGGGCAAGTTGGGTATCTGCTGTGTGGCCGATCTCATCAATGAGATTTACACCGTTGGTCCCAACTTCAAGCAAGCCAATAACTTTTTGTGGCCCATGAAGTTGAGCAACCCCAAGGGAGGATTCTCGAGCAAGACCAAGTTGTTGCACTTTTTGGAAGGTGGAGAAGCTGGTGCTCGTGGTGAAGAGATCAACAAGTTGGTCAAGAAGATGATCTAAAAAGAAAGGAAGGATAGTTATAACTCAATCCCTTACGCATAACCCCTGAAAATCCAACCCTGTTATCACCAACGCGATTCGATTCTGAATGAATCGAATTGCAAGCACCCAGCCTTCCTCGGAAGGTTGGGTGTTGGTGGGGGTGGTTCATTATGCAACTGACTGTAGCACTACACTTTCAAACTACTTATATACATACACGGAGACCTGTCTACCTCTAGAGTTGCGCGTTTTCGTCCGACGTTCTCTGGTGGCTATTGCATTAGTGAACCTGGGAGTAAGGACAGTTTGCCTGGGATTGGTGTTTATTTAGGTTGGTGTGGTATGTTTGTGTTGGTTGAACTTTGCTTGGTCTGTTAAAAGGTTCTTTGCGGTATCCAACAATCAACCTCTCCCTGGTCGCGACGGGTTGGACAGAACATGTTTCCATTATTTGAAGTCTCGCCGGCTGCTGAGCCCTGCTGAAGTCTCCGGCTACCTTTGGACCCTGCTTTGATCCACTCGAGTAACGGTAAATCAAATAGTCAGAAACTCCGCAATAAACTGCAAAAAGGTGTCGTTTCCTACATTCTGGACCGCATGAGACGACAAGTGTTCCTTCGACACAAATGTGCATTGACGGTGTGCTTGTCGACGGGGTGGTGCCTTGACCGGCTGACCGTTGGTATCCAATTCTTGGGTCCAACTTTCGGTAAGATTGAGGAAACAGTAGGGTCGATCGTGACGATGAAAGGGACATTTCGCTTGTGGCGCCAAACGGAATTCCCAGATTCGTAGCAGGGTATCCTGGTACAGAATGCTCGTGCCAATTTTGGTAGTAGCATCTGGTTGTTCTTCCATCTCGGTACCGGTAGTAGTATTAGTAGAAGTAGCGGCGTTTTGGGTCAGACGGGAGAGACGAAAGCATGCTTGTAGAGTGTGTTTATCTTTGTGGGGATCATCTCTTGTCACGGAGAGTGTACTAGTAGTGGTATCCTCACCATCGCTGCGATGAACCAGCAGCCAATAAAAATGGGAAGCATCACTCCTATGCATAGTGCTAGGGACTTCCTCTCCTGCACTACCGGCAGTTCTTCCAGAATCCATTCATTGGCAACGGACAGCAGCTCCTTCATCATGGTTTCTTGCTTGAGTTTTGAGTTTTGAAGAAAATGAAGATTTGAGCCAATCCCGTGGTGTCAAAGGTTCGTGATTCAAAGATCACCAACCATCCTTTCGACCATTCATTTCTCAAAACCAGCTCTCATTTTTTATTGCTTTTTCCTCCTTCCACTTTGGCCGTTGCTTCAGCTGCAACACAACCACATCCAGCCATTAGTCCAGAATTGCTGATCAGGCTCAGCAGTTGGATAGCTTCCCTTTTTTCCTCATAGTCTTCCCTTGGTTGCATTGCAAAAGAGAAATCAGTTAGTTATTCAGTCAGTCAGTCAAGTTCTTTCACCATGCCCGAAGATTTCCCACGCGGTGGACGCGACCAAGCCTTTCAACAAAGGAAGAAACACAAAGAGGCCGAAGCAGATCTTCCTTTCTTTGTTCAAAAAAAGAGAAAGAAACGAGCTTTGGAAGAAGCAGCCGATGGCATTGCTACTAATGCTGCCGCTATCAAGGATGATACCTATTTGTTTGGTGAAAAGAAAAAGAAACCCTCCAAGAAAAAACCCAAAAAGAACAATGATTCGACTACTACCGGTACTACTGGTACTGTGGACAGCAGCAACAACAATAACAACAAACACTCCTTGCTCCCATTGGGTGGAGGTGGAGTCATTTACAAGAAACATCATCCCACCAGCAAAGACAAAGACAAAGACAGCAAGAAAAACACTAGTAATGAGAAGGTTGAACCCTTTATTGAAGCTCTGGGATTTTCAAGATTGGCCAAAGGCACCAAGTTGTTGGGAATTGTCAGAGAAGTTCAGGAAGAATTTGCCCTCGTGTCATTGCCCAATCTATTGACGGGATATGTCCTACGATCAGAGGTAGGTTTGGACGAATGCTCGTGGAGCATGGAATGATGCTGAAAATACAATATGCATATAGTTCCCCTCACAACACCATTTCTATTTATTCTTTGCATTCTGATTTATCTATTTTTATAGACTGGCAAGACGGCACCACCCTTGACAAAGACCATTTCTGTAGGACAAGTCTTGGCCGTGGTCATTCTCAAAACCGTCACGGAAACCACCAAGAAACAACACAACAATAGTAATAGCAACAACAACACGCGACGAAGGATTCAGGTATCGTTGGAACCTTCCGCCGTCAATCCAAGGCACGAGGAACCGGCCCCAAAATTCCCAATCCGAGGCAAAATTCAAACGCTAGAAGATCATGGAATCTTGGTCGATCTGGGACATGGACGCAAGGGATTCTTGGCATTTGCCGATATGGATGACAACTCGTATGTGGTCAAGGAAGAGGAAGATGATGACGATGAAGACAACAAGAACAAAGACAACAATGACAGTGATGAGGAGGAGGATGGCTTGACCGTATTGAAAGTGGGTCAATTGCTTGATTTCATTGTCAAAAAGAGATCCAAGTCGGTGGCGGACATTTTACCCTTGAAGCTACCATCACCTGATGTCATGGCCAAACAAGCCATTCCATTGTCGTCCGATTCTACACCATCCATCCAATCCATTACTCCCGGATGGCTCGTCAAAGCCAAAGTAGAGGCACTGGCCCGCAATGGACTCTGTGTCGCCTTTTTGGGCAACGTCTTTCGAGGAGCCGTCGAGTTGGCGCATTTAGGTGGATTCTGGATTCCCACCACCAAACACGCGGATGGATCCACGGATTGGAAAACATTGTTTCAATCGAATACTCCTCCCATTCTCTCCTTTACCGCGCGCATCTTGGCGGTCGATCCGGCCACCAAAATGGTGCGGTTGTCCGTCTTGCCACACTTGATGGATATGCGTCCACCTCCCACTGCTCATCTGCCCAATCCCGGGACGGTCGTACAAGATGCCACGGTGATTCGATTGGATCCAGGAGTAGGTGCGCTATTGGCATTGCCAGTGGAAACGAAGGAGGACAAGATGGACTTGGACGAGGACAAGGACGCCGACAACAGCGACGACGATGCGGAAGAAGAAGGTGATGAAGAAGAAGACAATGGTGCCGCTTCGCTGCTGCATGAACCATTGTCGGAACAGTCAATCTACAAGGATGCCACCAAGGTTCGAGCCGTCTATGTCCACATTTCAAAGGCAATGGACGACACTGAAGACGGGAAGATTCCGGAGGCAACTTTTGCCAAGAACTTTGCTCCTTCGACAAAACACACCGTACGCATTCTGAGGTAAGAGGCCACTGCACTGAAGAGATACTTCTCGTAATTAGTTCGGCTTGATTGATTGATTGATTGATTGATTGATCCATTCTGACAACATGCCATGTCGATCATTTTTTTGTGTAGCACTTCCAATCTCGTGGAGAGCGTCGCATCGGGGGCTGCCGCGGAGAGCATTATCAATGCGCACGTCTTGACCCACGCAGATTTGAAACCTGGCAAGATCTTCCGCAAAGTGCCTGTTTGTGCTCACTTGAATGGAGGGGCGTTGCTGGTGGAGTTTGGAATGGAAGTGAGAGGTCTCCTTACAGCGGATCATCTGTTGGATCAGGCAGGCTCGGCGGAATATCAAAGCAAACTGTTGAAATCCAAGTTTGCTGTTGGGGCCAAAGTGGACGTACGTGTTCTGTCCTCAGACCCAACGACCAAACGATGTTTCGTCACAGCCAAGAAATCTCTGTTGCAGGCAACCAATATTATCAGTGAATGGGACACTTGCAAGCCAAACTCTGTTGCCACTGGCTTTATTTCCAGAATTGATGACAGAGGTCTGTTCGTGCAATTTTTCGGCAAGGTGTTTGGTTTGGTCCCAGCCAAAAGTTTGGCTTTGGAACTGGGCATCGACGATCATCGCGCAAACTACAAAGTTAGGGATGTCGTTCAGTGTCGGGTCGTCAGCGTGAAGAAGCTTCGTCGCGTGAGAAAGCGGCGTTCACGCCAAGCCATGGACCATGACGATGAGGAAGATGACGAAGAAGATAGTTCGGATCATTACATGAAGCAACTCACTCTGAGTTTGCGAGTGAACACAGGCGAAGATGCCAAGGATGATAAGCAGATGCAAACCGACGAGGAACCATCCAAGAGCGTAAAGCTCCGTGCGGGCACTCTTCTACCGGAAAAGGCCATGAAAGTTGTTAGCCTTGTACCAGGGAAGGAGAGAAACAACGGAACGTTTGTACCGGGCCATGCGATTGTGCACGTCAAATCGAAATACCTTGTTGACGAGGCAGAGAGTGCAACAATGCCGCCATTCGTGGAATGCAAACTTCCCTACCATCAACTCTTAGATTCCTACAAACCAGAAGAACACGACACTGCGGCAGCGATGGATGATCTAGCGGAGAGGCTCCTTGCTCCCGGGAAATCCTTGAAAATGAAGGGCCTTTTGCTTTCAGATGCCAGAAAGACCGGCTCCGATCAACTTGCTGTCGTTTCTATTAGAGCAAAGCTCGTCGAAAATGCCGAGGAACGAGCGAAAACCAAAGACACCGAGGCTGATTGCGTCGTAATGCCTTCTCCCGACTTCAGTCTGTATGAGGGGGCCCGGGTTCTGGGATTTGTCAACAATATTGACCAGCGATACGGTGCTTTTGTGCAATTCTTGGGTGGGTTGACGGGCATGGTCCATAAATCAAAGGGCGGCTTGGATTTGGAGCTATTTAGCACCGTGAATGCTCGTGTAGTGTCGATTGACACGAAATCGCCACCCAAGATTGTCCTGTCGGTTTCCGAAGAGTACCACAAAGCCAAGAAGACAAGAAGGACAACTCAGAAAAACGACAAGCATAAGTTTCGTCGGGGAGCTGCGGTTCAGGAGGTTGAGGTTGAAAGCCTTGACTTTTACAATGCAAATTTGAAGATTCTAGATAAGGCATGGGATGGCGTGAAAGTGCACGCTCGCATGCACTGTACGATGGCGGCGAGTGAAGACTTCACACCTGGCAGCAAAACGTTCAAGGGAAAATATACAAAGGCCACAACGATTACAAAGTATCACCCTTTTCATGGTTGGGCAACCGGAGACAAGCTGCGGGGCCTCCATGTGGTTTCTGTGCATGTGAAAGGCGACGTCTACGATGTGGAATTGACCAACAAAGGAAAGGTCAAAGAATCCCAGGATGATGATGATGACGAGGACGATGCAGGCATCGTGACAAGCAAGAAGCTAATGGGACAAAGAGTTCGTCGTGGGCATCTGCCGCTTGGACGGAAAGTATCAGTGATTGTCAAGCAAGTTTCTCATTTCAATGGCGGAGTTTGCGTGGAATTGGCCCCAAAACTCAGTGGTTTCGTTCCTGGTTTCGAATGCTCGACCGATGCTGAGATTTTGAACAACCTGGCCTCCCACATTCCCGTCGGTGCGCGCCTCAGTTGCACCGTTATTGACAAGCAACGTTGGCATAAGCGAACATCTCAAGCAACTGGTTCTTCTCGGCTGGTAAAAGTCGATCACGATGACTCTAGTAGAGTTTACCTTTCGATGCTGTCAGACAAGCCTTCCGGCATTTCGAAGCCTGCTCGGGGAGAACTGGTCGTCGGTCGCATCCAACGCGCGTTGAAGCAAATAAACGCCCCATCGCTTATGCTGGAACTTCGGGGCGGTTATGTTGCACGGTGCTGCATTTCTGAGCTTGAGGAAATGGATGAATGGACCAACATGCCGCTTGGAAGCAGTGCTGGTCGAAGCCATGAGGGAACGGATGCCGCTGTAGTTTCTGGTGAAAGCGACGCAGATGGTGAAGAGGAATCATCCCCAAGCAAGGACACGCGAAGGTAAGCCACCCTTGCATCGGGTTTGAAATGCACCGATGGAACGGTCAAGTGTCCTCTTTCATCTTGACTGTGAAATCTAGCTCTGTGCGAGCTGAAGTGTGCAAACAGCAATCTGGCAGTCCGTGTGGAGGGGCACTATGTCTTCGATCATGTGTCGCGATGAAGGACCATTCACATTATTTTACTAACTTCTTTTTGTTGTTGTGGCACAGAAGCTTGTTGTCGGATGAGCCCTTTGCAAACGGGAAGTATGTATCTTGTCGAGTACTCGAAAGCAAGTCCTCCCTTCCGTTGGTCGATGTGAGCCTCAGATCAAGCCGCATTGAGGGGGACCTCGAAGATGACGATGTCCCTGAAGAAGGGGAGATGTGCCACGCATATGTGGCTGTCACGAACAAGAGCGGTTGCTTCGTCCGCGTATCACGCACCGTGGAAGGCAGGGTTATCATCAAGGAGTTAGCTGATGACTTTTTGCCAAACCCAGCAGCTATATTTCCTCCTGGCAGGCTTGTCGTCGGCAAGGTTAAGGCAGTCAGGGAAGCCACAGGCAAGAAACAAAAAAGAACCACGGTGGATCTAGACCTGCGCGAATCGAGTGTGCTAGAAAGTGAAGAGCTCCAGTTTGAGGATGTCGAATTGCAAAGTAAACACAAAGGAATCGTCACTCGCGTGGAGGACTATGGAGTCTTTGTCCGCTTGAACAACAGCAAGGTTTCTGGGCTGGTCCACAAGAGTGAATGCAGTGACAAATACGTCAAGAATGCCTCAAAGTTCTACGACCCCGGCGATCTTGTGAAAGTGCTTGTCATCAGAAAAGATGAAGAAGATAAGAAGATCGGTTTCAGTATGAAGGCTAGCCACTTCGCAGATGATGAAGATTCTGATGATGATACCCTTGAAGAAGCTGCCTCGGATGATGATGAGGAGGGAGACACGGAGATGCCCGACGCACGTGAAGCGCTTGAAGTGGACTCTGACGACCCGGATTATGCATCCAAGTTGGCAAAGTCTCTGGCGGGTGCGAAAAAGGAAGGCTCTGACGATGACTCCAGCAGCAGCGGAGACGACAATCAGGATGATTCCAGCAGTAGCAGCGAGTCGGACGATGACGACGACGCACCTGCTGAATCCAAAACATCTGATGCTCAGATGATGGACACTGATGTGGGCTTTGACTGGAGTGCTAACGCATCGCAACTTGCAAAGAAAAGAGCTGCTGATAGTGACTCTGAATCAGATGAGGACGATTCAGAGGATGACGATGCGCTGGCATCATCCACATCTCACAAGTCTAGAAAAAAACAGGCACAGAAGCGACGCGAAGAGCAAGAGATCTCCCGCCGCGAAACAGCGCTGGCAGATGGTACAGCCGACGACAACCCCGAGACAGCAGCCGACTTCGAGCGTCTTCTGAGCGGCAGCCCCAATTCAAGTGAGATATGGATTCGATACATGGCATTTCATCTGGCGCTGGTGGACATCCCTGCAGCTCGTGCTGTGGCCGAGAGGGCCTTCGCCAGAATTGAATTCAGTCAAGAGCGGGAAAAGTTGAACGTTTGGTGCGCTCTTCTTGCGTTGGAGCTCAAGTACGGAAGCCCCGCTAGCTTCACCTCAGCAATCGACCGTGCTTGTCAGCAAAACAACCCAAAGCAAGTCTATTTGCGTGCTTGTGAAATGCTGGCAAAGGAAGTGAATGCTTCGTCGCCAGAAACTGTCTTGCGTGCAGACGAGATGTTTGCCAAAATGTGCAAGAAGTTCAAATCGAAAAAGCAGGTTTGGATCGCCCATTTGCAGTATTTGCTTCGGGGAGGCCGGCACAAGGAAGCCCATGACCGCCTAAGACGCTCATTGAAGTCGCTTCCAGATTACAAGCACGTTGAAACCATGTCGAGATTCGCTCAGCTGGAGTTTGAGTTTGGCAGCGCAGAGCGCGCAAGAACCATCTTTGACGGGGTTATCCTGAAGCATCCAAAGCGACTCGACCTTGCCTTTGTTTACGCTGACAAGGAAGTGAAACATGGTTCCATGGAGATGGCAAGAGCCCTATTCGAGAAGATTGTGAACCCTCAAGGGGGCACTCCCAGAAAGCTATCCGACAAACAGATGAAGAGTCTCTTCAAGAAATGGTACAAGCTCGAAGAGGAGCACGGCACGAGCGATACCCAAGAGCACGTAAAGGAGGCAGCCAAAGCCTTCGTCAGTAGGTCTTAATAGGTCGTCAAGACCTTTGAAAGGTGCTGCGTTACCATGTACATATATGTAGTTGTTATGTTGTTGTTAGGGATAGCTTCGTGCGAGCAGGTTACATCGCCTCCCCATTGACTCTTGGCCGCATTGACAACCGCCTTCGCCAATGGATGTTCGCTCTGTTGTTCAGCACAAGATGCCAGCCACAAAGCCAGATTGTGCCCCTTTTGTTCTCCCTTGGAGTTTTTAGGAGCTGATCGCGACAGTACCTTGGATGGCAAATGCTGCAGCAAAGGAACTTGGGGGTCTTGAACCAGCTCTCTGTGTTCGCCCAGAACCGCTTTGCCCATGGTGAGAGTGCCTGTCAGTAGGGCTTATTAGCTCGTTAAGACCTTTGACAGGTACTGTGTTACCAGGGTACATGTAGATGTTATGTAGTTTTTAGGGATAGCTATCATGGCTACCTTGGAAACAAGTTTGAGCAGTAACTCTCAAACCAGTTCGAGTTCGTGATCGGCTTCATCGTCGTGCACAGTTTGGTATTCATGCAAAGATTTCCAAACAGCAGCATTTCGAGACGATGGTCTCTGCCGGTCGCATGGGTGCATGAGAACTTGCAGTAGTCCTGATCCACCCTCAAGAGTCCCGTCCTCGAGAATAGACGGACGTGTGTAGTTTCGGAGAAGCAAACTGGATGTTACAACACTCACGGAAGAAAATGCCATCATCAATCCAGCGTACTCCGGAGGCAAGCAAAAGTGGGTAAAAGGGTACAAGATTCCCGCAGCAAAAGGCAATGCAAGCAAATTGTATGCCATGGCCCAAATAAAGTTCATTCGGATCCGCCGAAAGACGACCCGTGACAGATGGAGCGCAATGACGACGTCGTGTAGGTTGGATCGGACCAGAACAATGTCAGCTGCTTCCACAGCAACTTCTGTTCCAGCACCAATCGCAACCCCAACGTTGGCACGTGCCAGCGCAATGGAGTCGTTAATACCGTCACCCACAAAGCCAACGCGAGAACATGCCCCTTCACTCGTTTCGCCCCCTCTGTTTCTAACCGCCTCAGAGGACCAGCCCCTTCTGGCTTGAAGCTTGGTTACGTACTCAGCTTTTTCTTCAGGTTTGACTCCAGCACAGACGTTTTCCTCCTTGATTCCCACTTGCCGAGCCACTGCCTTCGCCGTTGTGACATGGTCACCAGTCAACAGAAAGACATCAATTCCCAGCTTTTGCAAGGCTGCGACGGTCGATTTCGCTTGCTCCCTGATTGGGTCAACGATTCCTAAAACACCAACCACACGCCTCTGTCGCTGACCGGTTTTGACGGGCGACGACGACAAAAGGTCGGGCATTGCTTCAGACTCCAAGACACTGACATATACCCCGATTTGTCCCAGTCGACGTAACTCGGCGATCTCTTGATCGCCAGTAGTGTCCTTGGATGACACTAACGCGCCAGACTGAACCGTTTCTTGTGCCCACTGTTTGTTGCCGACGCGGACCGTGAAGGTACCCCAGTGTGGTTTGGAAACGACACATTCAACGCCTGATCCTGGTGTGACGGAGAAGTCTTCCACTGTCACACCTTCGTGCGAGCAGGTTACATTGCCTCCCCATTGACTCTTGGCCGCATTGACAACCGCCTTCGCCAATGGATGTTCGCTCTGTTGTTCAGCACAAGATGCCAGCCACAACGCCAGATTGTGCCCCTTTTGTTCTCCCTTGGAGTTTTTAGGAGCTGATCGCGACAGTACCTTGGATGGCAAATGCTGCAGCAAAGGATCTTGGGGGTCTTGAACCAGCTCTCTGTGTTCCCCCAAAACAGCTTTGCCCGTGGTTAGCGTGCCTGTTTTATCAAATACAAAAGTGTCAATGCCTTGCATCTCTTCCAACACAGAGCCACCTTTGATCAGTAGTCCTTGAGAAGCCCCAACACCCGTCCCCACCATGACCGCAGTCGGAGTGGCCAAGCCTAGTGCACATGGACAGGCAACGACAATGACACTGATGGCGGACAAAAATGCCATGACCAATCGTTCTTGGTTGGTATCGGCATCACAGTCCAGCACCACCCAGAACAAAAATGTCATGGCGGCAAGTCCCATGACAGCCGGAGCAAAAATGGACGCAATTCGATCGGCGAGCGCTTGAATGGGAGCCTTTTGCCTCTGAGCGTCTTCCATGAGTCTCACGATTTTGGCCAGTACCGAGTTGGAACCGCACGCAGTGACCCGAATCACAAGGACGGAGAGTTGATTGACAGACGATCCGTAGACCGATTCACCAATAGATTTGGGAACAGGAAATGGCTCTCCCGAAAAGGCCGATTCGTCAATGTAGGCAACCGCTTGTTGGGTTTGTTGTTTGCTGGGTGCATCGTTCAAAGTCTTTCCGGAGGAAGAAGAGGAGGAGGAAAGCGCCACAATGACGCCATCGGCGGGAATTCTGGCTCCTGGCAACACTCTGAGATAATCTCCAATTCGAACATCCCAGGCAGACACTTCTTCCGTCTCCAACGCCGACAGCTGCAACGGCTGTGGTGGTTCTTCTTCTATTGGCATCGATGCTCGATCACTAACAATGGTGGTGTCTTGCCAGCCTTCCATCCCCTTGACGACGCGACTGGCCCACGATGGTTGCAACTTCATCAATGCCTCCAATGCCGAGGACGTTTTCCCCTTGGCATAGGCTTCCAAGAATTTTCCAAACGTGACAAATGTCAATAGCATGGTTCCCGTTCCAAAGGTTGGTTCGAGTGCCGTATTGTCGGGAGCCACAGCGGCGTGGGCTTCTACCAAGAGCCAAAACCAAACACAGAGACTGTACACGAGATTGGCCGTAGTGCCCAGTACTACCAAAAAGTCCATTCCAAAGTCTCTTCCGGCATGCCACGCGGCTCGGTAGTATCGATATCCGACGAGTGTTTGTGATAGAATCGCGAGAATGGCCATGGCGAGCATGTATTGTCCGCATGTGGTGGATAAATGATAGTTGATGGGAGCCATGGGGGCGTCTTCATCCAATAATTCCATGGAAGTAGTGTTGTTGTTGTTTAGTTGTTCCGTGGTGATGGTATAATTGTTGTTGCTGTTGTGAAAGAGATCTCCCTCTTCTTGTTCATTCCCATGAGAAATGGTAGGACCATGATGGTCCATTTTCATGGCGTGTAGTTTCATGTGTGCCATGCTTCTCTTGAGCCATAGCATGGGTATCAAGAGGGAGACTGCCAATATCAACAAATTTCGCCAGGCCACCAATTCCGAATGTTTGGCGTTTTCCAGAGTTTTGGCATTGTCTTCGAGTGTCATGGAATTGCCGCCTCCCGCACTGAGAACTTGACTGGGATATCCCAATTTTTCCACATGCTGCTGTGCTTCTTGTGCCAATTGTTCAATGCCATCTTCGTCGACGTGGTTGAATGTGATTTCGGCACGATGTGTGGCCAAACTGACAAATGCCGTGGCGACACCGGGCACTTTTAACAGACATCGTTCTACTTTTCCAGTACAAACGGCGCAGCTCATTCCTTCCACCGACAAAATAATGACATTGGGATTGTCGCTGTTGGGACTGGATTCTTCTATTTCTTGTTGTAACAGTGGAGTTGGATTGGATGGTTGCTGGTTATCGTTTTCTTTTTGTTGTTGGAGTGCCTCTTCTTCGGAAAGCAGAGCGGCATCAAATCCGACACATTCAATGGCATCGACGACTTCTTGTTCCATACTGTTGTTGTTGTTGTTGTTGTTAATGGCCACTTCGGCCCATGCTTGGCTGTGGCGAAACGAGGCTTCCGCCGACAGGACTCCCTCTGTTTGAAGGAGTGCATTCTGAACGGTACTTCCGCAGTTGCGCTGACACATCATTCCCTCCACTTGACAGTAGATTTTTCGAGTTGTTTTCAAGCTGGCATCAAAGCCGACGTCTTCTACGGCTTCCACCACATCCGAGGCGTTAGTGCCGGCCGCAAGGGTAGCCCACGCCGACGAGGTAGCAAATGACGCCTTGGCATCCAACACTCCAGGGACGCCACGAAGTGCATTCTCCACAGTAGACCCACAGTTTCTCTGGCACATCATGCCTTCCACAGTTAACCAGACGGTCGTAGTACCGGTAGTAGCATTTGATTCGCTCATCTTTTCTTTTGTGGGGAAGGGACTTTTTTGATCGTGGTTATTGTTGCCTGTTGATGGATGCTACCGATCGATGGTTAATGGTTAATGGATAATGGCGGGGCTGGAAGATAAATTAATGCTCGGAAGAAAAGGAAGGGAAGGGAAGGAAGCTGTTCGAACAATCAATCTGAATAATGGAAGCAGGCTAACCTTGAGCAATGAATAATACCTGCGAGATATGGTTGATGTGCTCAAGCCTTCTCTTGCGGCGATTGGGGATCACGACGCGGATGACGATGAAAAACAAATAATGCTCGGGACGGTCTTTGGCACCTTTTGTGTGAAGCTGAAAATTTCTCACTTCGGATTGTGTCACGGCCCTGCCAAAATTCAGTCACAATTCGCTTTTCGATCCTGTTTACCGTGGTTTTACGTACATGCACTACGTACCTAGACTACGTACCGTACGTGGCAGCGCACCGGTACGCTAGGTAGTCTTTGGAATGTCTAATGTGCAAGACCTTGAGAGTTGCTGGCCGGGTACAAGCTCAGTCCATAGATCTAGCTTGCTGTTCGGTGCCGTACCTACTGTGCATCAAAGAGCCCACCCCAAACACTTGCATGGTAGCCATGTCCACATCCCGGCTCCGCCTAATTTCTTCGAAGCAAGACTATGCTACCGGTAGCCTACCGGTAGCTTCCGAAGCTGGCTTCGGTAGCCAGAGGTAGGAGATTGGTTACTGTTAAAATGGGTAGCCGTCCCATTGTCCGGATAATGGTTTCGCTCGAGCTTGTCGCGACCCCTGAGACTGCCCTGGGACATTTGTGCAAACCCAACACCCTCCCTGTCCATGTTGCTGGCTGTGGAAGTGCGGATGTATGTGGTGATTGGGGCTATTTTGACTTCCCAAGCCCTGACTGTTCTCAGCCATCACTATCTATACTGTATCCTTCAAGGAGACTCTCAAGTGCACAGTGAAACCACCTACTTGCAGTTGGTTTCCAAGATAATAAGAATCTAACAACAGAAAAACAAAACAAAACAAAACAAAACAAAAACATATTAATAGCCAGAGTAGATCGTCTGCTTGTTGGTGCTGGAGCTGTTGAAAAATGCCCCCATCGAGTTAGACTAGTGTTCTGTTGCCGGCATCCGTTGTAAAAATTAATCGACGGACGATGGCCACCAAGAACCCTGGGGTCGCTGTTCCCACCATGGTTTTCTATATACATACAACACGGTAGTTCCCCTAACAGCTGATTGCAATGTTCATCTCCATGTGACTGGCCGTGGACGAGAGTGGACGAGAGTGGATTGTCTCGTAGCTATGCTCAACTCAACTCGGGTACAGGCAGCTGCTCTTGCCACATGGTATGTAGAAAGTTGTACAGATTGTCAGACACCATCACAGGGTACTGCTTTGGTTCCTCATAGTCCAGGATACCCATGCCGGCAACGCCCCCCAGCTGTTCCTTCACAAGGTTTCGGTTCTCCTGTAAGCTTCCCACTGACTCTAACGCCTCCTTGCCTCCGTCAAAATACACACCATGCAGCAGAGTTACACGGCTTGGTGTGACCATGACACGATCCATGGCTTGGAATGGATTGCGGCAGAGGACTGGCTTTCCGGCCTCGGGGGGGTCGTCCTTGTCGGCGTCTACCATTAAATCCAACAACGGTGCTTCCTTTTTCCCGAAAAGTCGGTAGGCTCGTTTTCGCCCCGGAATTAGGACCTTGGCTATCTCCTGGGAGAGCTTCAGCCGCGGTTTCCCGTTGAGTTCCACTAGTTTGTAGACACATCCCAAGGCCGGCTGAGCTTGGCACGTTACCAAGTTGGTACCTATCAGGCAGAAGAGGAAGATGATAACAACCGTAAGAGATTTGTATTCATTCGCATTTGGTCTTTCCAACAACGCACGGCCGTACCTATACCATAGAGCGTGATTGCGTGACCCTGTTGATTCAATTTCACCAGTGTTTTTTCGTTAATGTCGTTGCTCGCTACAATGTCCAAATCATGAAAGAAGGGGCGATTTTGCGATTTAGCCAACTCGGCAAACTTGTGTGCACAGGCCATGGACAGGGCCGCCAAATCACCCGAATCCAGACGAATTCCTTTGGGGGTGTATCCTAGATCGCCCAGGACCAACGACACCATGCAAAAGTTCAACAAGCCGCTCTTGACAGTGTCGTAGGTATCGACCAAACACAGGAACGAGTCGGGAAAGGCACACGCATAAGCAATAAAGGCTGCCAGTTCTCCATCGTTGGTTTTCTGGAAATCTTCTCCCAAATTGGCTCCATTCTTGTTGTCTCTGTACTCCAGTACTTTTTCCAACAGATTGACTTGTCCACCGCTATTCTTGTTGGCCACGGTAAGCTCTTGAACTTCATCTAGTGACAAGTAGGATTGCACAAAGGCATGTGCATGAGTTCCCACAATGGGAATGCCCAACTCTTTCCCGGCCTTGACATTGGACGTGGCAGCAAAGAGACCCACAAAGGCGTATTTGGAGGCCGAGAATCCACCATCGGGGCCTTGAGCTCGACGCAACCCAAATTCGGCACATAGAATCTGTTTTTGGCATTGCCGTGGCAAGTCGGCAGATTGTGGTCGATGATTGTCGTGATCATGGGCGCGCAGAACCATACGAGCCGCATTGGTGGCCAATAAACTAGGATAATTGATAAGTGTCAGCAGTGTTGTTTCCAAAAGCTGACCCACTCCCAAGGGCCCCGACACAATCACCAAAGGGACGCGTGGAAAGGCCAAGGATCCCTGCGGCAGGGCTTGGATCTGAGTCTTGGAACAATCGAGTTGCAGCAAGTAGTCAAAGAATCCTGGATCGCAGTGCTGCAGGGATGGCGTGGATTTTAAGTAGTCAATGTCCTCTTGAGAAAACTTGAAGGCGTGCAAATGCTTGACGACTTCATCCAGGCCACAAAAAAGGGTGAAAGATCCCTTGAACGGATTCTTACGAAAGAATAACTCAAAGACCGAGTGCTCTTCGTGGCGTTTATTCTTCCAGTGGGCGTAGGTCATGGTGATCTGATACAGGTCGGTCAACAGAGGACCGACCAAGTTGTTGGTGGGCGTTTCATAGGATGTCATGGTGGTGTTTTGTGGGCAATCAGAGGATCGAGGTGATGGCAGGAAAGAGAATGTCTGGGTTTGATCAGCAACAGCACGCACAGACCCCAAATGCAGGTCTCAGCTTCGGTGTTTGTGAGGTGGTGGCCTCGGCTTCCGAAAAGCGAATGCAAAAGATCTGTGATCGATTCGATTCGATTCGACTCAATTCGATCTTGAATCTTATTGTCGAATGATCACTCGAATAAACCGTTGAAATACGGTAACTTCTCGTGTCTAAGTAGCGCTCCGGCAAGTCGCTTCTCACACATCAACGACAATTCTCGCTTGTTGAAGATCATCACTTCCATCCCTCTTGAGAAAGCAAGCAAAAGGTCGCTTCCTTTCTTGCTGTCCCATCAGACAAGAAGAAGAGGTAAACAACAAGAGAAAGACATTTCATTTGATGCTTTTGTTGAGACCATAGCGGGAGATAATCTGTTGTGGATCAACTTGGCAGAAGCATCTTTGATCTGACCACGGCGTTACCCTGTTGTGCCGAAAACCCCACATTGATAGGCACCACGACAACATGAGCAAGGAAGAACAAGAAAAACGCGAAGTGTTGGCCCTAGTGTCCTGGCTCCAGACGTTTGATCAGTTTCCTTTCTCAGTTGTCGATGGGATTGATGGCGATATCAAGGAACGATTCAACATTGTCTTGGAATCTCTTGAAAATGTCAAGATTTCACGGTAAGCAAGCAAAAACAACCACAACAAGGACTTGTTTTGGATCATTCAATTTTTGTGCATCGCTGACACTGTGTTCGATGCTTATTTCTTCTACAGTGCCGTGGTCCATGTAGCCGAGGAAGTTTGCGGTTTGCATCGAAACGACATTGGCTCCCATAACTCTGCTAGTCAAATATGGAGGGCCATGTTGAATGTCACAACCATCAAAAGCCGATTTGAAATCTACACAACACCCGAGAATGCAAGCTCCGATGCTGAAATTCCCCATGTAGTTTTGTCCAATCTACTGGACTTTGCTGTCACTAGTCCTGATCTGGACGAACGACGAAAATACATTCAACGCATCATGTCGCTGTCAAAATCAGTGCAAAAGATTCTCATGAACCTCATTGAACGAATGAAGAAAACATTGCCTAGAAAGCCAAAGAACTCTAGCCGATCCAGTAGGGGTGTTCGTTCGCCACGAATGCTCTGTGGCCCCAACAACGACGCTGTCATTGACGGTCCTGATGCGCCCATCCCAGACCCTGGCAACAAACCATTCATCAAAAATTGTGCACGCAAGAAACAGGATTCCCACCTCTTTGTAGATGATGACTCTTCAGCTGGAGCAAGCGATGTCACTCCTCCTCCACAAGAGACTTCTCAGCGGGTCCGAGCTTTTGGGTCGCCACGGCGAGAGCGCAATGTGCATGGTATCCCGCAAACCGAGTCGCAGGACCGATCTAGAGGACGGTCCAATCAACAGGATCATCAGAGAAGTCGCAGTGCTTCACATGTCCGTCATCAAGACCATCAGGACCACGAGGGATCACAGTCGTCAAAGCCCCGTCAACCTGAAGGACATTACATGCCCGAATTAACAAAGAAACGGTGCCAAAAGGGATTTGCATCGCCTCCCCGGGATCGCCAACAGCGTAAACAAAAGGGATTTGCTTCGCCGGGTAAACAGCGGCATAGTACTGGAACTAGTAATGGTTCGCAGAATGTACCGTTTCGAGAGCGGCAAGTGCAGACGCAGCAGCGAGCGGCGTTTGCCTCCATCAACAACCAGAACCAGCGCAACCAAAAGCAGCAACAACAACAGCAGCAGCCACAGCAGCACCATGGTACGCTCAGCAGAAAAGGTGGAACGCAGAAGCCGGGTCCGCCCCCACCACCTCCGCCATATTCACTTGATCAGAAGATGCCGGCGTCGTCGACTCCTTCAGACGAATTGGAAATCGACAACCATTTGTCCCTCCCCCTCACAGACACAACCCTTAGCACAGTTGATACCACTAGCTCTCTTGAAGCTGGTTCCGATCTTGCCGTTCTAAAGGTCAATTCATCTACGGATACCAAACAGAGGCAGGTCGGGAGGGGGCGCCAGGGAGATGCGTTCTCTTCTCCAGCGAGAAGAGTGTCATTGCTCGACAGCCCAGTCCCTATCAAAACACCCGACGTGTCACTTACAACGCAGGAACGGGAAGTTGATGGTCGAATGATGTTTTCACCCGATGACAGCGTGCTTCAGTCCCCGTTGCAAGTGGATGACTTCGTCAAAGATTTGCGCGCAAAGAACAAATCGTTGGAATCCATTCTGCAATCCTATCAAAAACGCGAACGGGAGCTGAATCAGAAGATGGAATCAACCGAGTCAAAGTTACGAAAGGAAATGATGAAGCTGGAATCAAGGGCTCTCGGTCGTGAAGATGAGCTTCGCCGGAGCTATGACACCGAGATGGCAAAACTCAAGAAGGATCTCCGTACAGAGAAGGAAAAGAACAAGGCGAGTATGCGAGCGAAAGAAGAATTGGCCAACGCAAACGATGAGCTCGATTTGATGCAACATACGCACGAGAAGCTCTTGGAGGCCACTGAAAAGATTCGAAAGTACAAAGAACGTATCGACAGCATGAACGATTACAAGGAGGCATTGGAACGCGAGCAGGAGGCTCACAGCGAATCTGTCGAGGAGTGTCTGCGTCTCCAAAATGAGTTGAAAGTTCTGCAACCATTGAAGCGCCAGTTGGAAGATTACAAAGCAAAGGCAGTGGACGCTGAGGTGCAGCTTGCTGAATGCAAAGATGCATTGGCAAAGTTGGAGAGAGAACGAAGCGAGCTGAATGGAAAGCGAGATGATGTCATTCGAGAGGCCAGAGCACAGCGTGCCCAGGCCGACGAACTTCGCAAATTCATCCGTTTGAAGGAGACACAAGACGGCCCCGGGATCGGGGAGGGTATCAGGTAAGTCTACGATGCAGCAGTGTGATGAATACTATTTGCAGTTCTTGGTCGTTCACTGATCACATACGCATTCTCTGTTCTCATCGTCGCCCTCTCTCCGTAGCGAACTCAACCCGGAGCTTTACGAGGAACTCGTCAAACTGCGCAACGAGAATGAACGATTGAGAGTCTTCGCAGAGGAACGAACTGATGACTCGGTTCAGAGGCTTCAAGAAAACCTGGAAGACTCCACAGTCCGACAGGAACGCTTCAAGGCAGAATACCTCAAGTCCAAGAACAAGCTCGAGGAAACTGAATCTCTTCTCTCCACGGCGAAACAAAGACTTGCTCAGTTGGAAGCCGAAATTGTAGATAAGGATAAAGCCGCTGAGGAGTATCAGAGAAAGATCAAGTTCTTGGAGGATCAGTACAACTCTTGCTTGGAAACTCTCGAGAGTCTCCAACAACGAATTGGCAACTTGGAGGAACAGAAGAGCGTATTGGAGACTGAACTCGACGAGTGGAAGGAGATGGCCGAAAAGCTCGAGAAGGAACTGGAAAAGAGAACTGGTGAGCTCGAGAGTACGAAGGATCAGCTCAAGGAAACCGAAGATCTCAAGAGAAAAGTTGAAGCCGATGTAGCTGAATGGAAGATCATGTCCGACAAGCTCGAAGCAGATTTGAAACGCCGAGCGGCTGAACTAGATGGGACAAAGCAAACCTTGCAAAATACCGAAGAAGCGAAAGCACAAATCGAACGGGATCTGGCAGAATGGAAACAAATGGCCGACAAACTCGACATTGAGCTAGTGAAAAAGAATGACGAACTCGAACAAGCACGCCAAACGTTGTTTTCGATGGAGGAAGAGCAAATGAAGCAGCAACATCAGCTCAACGAGTGGATTGCAAGTGCCGAGAAACTGCGAGAAGAGTTGAAAGCGAAGGAGATGGAAGTGGAGGAAACCAAGACTCAGCTCAATGAGACAAGGGAGATGCTTCATGCTTCTGGACAGCGCCAAGAAGAGCTCATGAATCATATCAACGACTACGAGAAGCGCCTCCAGGAAGCCGACGAGAAGTACCAGAAACTCGACACAGAGCTCCAGGAAACGAGTAGCTCTTTGAAGGCGGCAGAAGCTTCAGTGGAGGAGGGCAAGAAGCGAGAAGAAAACTTGAACGAGGAAAGTCGTCAGCTAAAAGAAGTCAGCGAAACGCTGCTGAAGCAGCTCAAGGAGGAGACGAAAGCAAAGGAGGAAATTAGCCAAGAATCTCACCGGACGCTGGAAGCAACAAGGGAAGTGTTGAACTCCAAGGCGAAGAAAGAGCTTGAGGAGTTGCAGGCAAACATGAATCGACTTCTCGACGACGAACGTAAGGCGTATCGCATGAAAGCCGACAAAGCGTCCGTTGACTACAAGAAACTGCAGGAGAAATACGAAATGAAACTAAAGGTAACGATGGATGAGTGTTCCGCCCGCATCAAGGATACTGAAGAAAACTCGATGCGGCGGATGGCGCAACTACAAGATCAAACAGCGAACGAGATTGAGAAGATCAAGCAGCAAGAGGACGAGAAGCGTACAGAACTGAAACAAAGACTTGAAGAGCTCTTACAAGGAGCGAAAAACGGTGCCGAAGCGGCGCTCAAAGAATTGTGGCAGCAGAAGGAGCAAACATCTCTCGAACTTGCAACTTCCCAGGAGCAATACAACCAGCTGGCTTCGAAATATGCTTCGAAGAAGGAAAGGCTGGAATATGCTACCAATACGATCATTGAGATGGAGACATTGCGGGATGACCTTAATGATACTGTCACAAAACTACAACGCGAAAAAACATTGCTCCAAGAAGAATCCGACAAATACCGTCGTCAGCTAGGCGGTCAAAGAGGTACCGATCACTCCCAAGTCGACAAACTCAACAAGGAGTTGATGGATGCTCATCACGAGCTTCAAGACCTGAAGCGAAAACTTGCAAAGAGCGCGTCCCAGGACACGTCCATGTCGTTCCAAAGCGAGAGCAACAGCAGCCATTTGCTCGGAAGCTATTCCAGCGGGGCAGCCAACCAATCGGCGCTTGTAGAGGTCAAGGCGGGGTACGAAGAGGAAGCAGCGAGACTCAACGAGGAGAAACGAGAAATGGTAATGAAGTACTCGTCAGCCACTGTTGAAGTCCAAAAGGTAACCCAAGCGCTACACCAGCGGGATCAAGAGATTACCAAGCTCAAAGCGGAACTGACTGCTGTGAAGCTCGACAAAGAACGTGCGGAAATGGCTGTGACGGACGAGGAAGAAAACAGGGAAGCCTCGTTCTTCTATCAAGACACGGACACAAGCTTCGGAGCACCGGAACTACAGGGAACGTTTTCCTCGGATATTCCGGCACCGCGCATCGAGCCTCAGCAGCGACAAATCAGTGATTCGCGAGAAAACAGGGAAGCCTCATTCTACAGTCACTATCGAGACACAGACACAAGCTTCGGATCACCGGGCCTAAAGGAATCGTTTTCCTCGGATATTCCAGCGCCGCGCATCGAGCCTCAGCAGCGACAGATCAGTGATGAGGAAAAGTCGGCGTTTTCCACGGGAGACAAAAATGTAAATGTACTTTCTCCAAGCAACAAGCTCGAGCTTCAGCGGCAGATGAGCCACTCGCGACAACAAAACGAAGACGGTTCGAGGGGTGAACAAGTGCTTACTCCAAGCAAGAAACACGAAAACAACGCAGGTGCATTTTCGCGTGCTGAAACAGCGAGCCCCAGCTTTGCTTCGAAGGCGAGAGTTTACGAGCTTCATATACAGAAAGTGAACAAGAAGTCACCGGATCGTGCTCGTCCCGACATCCACAGACCAATGAAAGACTTCACTCAACAATTGCAGGCCGATCAGATGACTCCCGGTGACGGCGATGGTCAAACGGAATGCACTCAGAGTTGAGCTATTTAGCATAGACGACGAGTCTGGAGGCAGCGAATCCGTTATTTGCGCCAGCATCGAAAGTAAAACTATAACTATAACTTCTAGCCCCTTTCGCATCGTTGATTTTGTAGGCTTCTAAATGCTCAGTGAATTGCTGGAATTGACGCGTAAACTGCAACGACCACGACCGCATCTTCACAACTTGGAGTCCAGTCACTCGTTGTGCAGTGCAAGGGCCGCGTCTATACCGGTACCGACAACGACGCAGGTACTGGTTTGTTCGTTTGTTCCTCATCCTCATTTCTGAGTGACAGCCAGTAAGGATTTTTTGCACCAGGCCGCATGAATGGCACAAACAGATTCTGATCGTGTTGTTTGGACAGGGCACGAGACAGCTACATGTATGCATAGTTGCAACAGAAGAAGTTTTGCGGATGCATTTAGTGCTTTGGATTACCTTCAAGATGGCTCCTTCGGTAGCTAGCTATATATAGTATACCGGTACCGGTACCGGTATATTCCAACCCAGCTACGTAGAGGGCTCAATCGATCTATGATGGTAGATTTCGCGTGAAGAGATGTGGTTGGTTGGTTATCACACGTGCGGACAAGAAACAGCAACGGCCTCGTCATCTGCAGGCAGGGGAGCAGGGAGCAGTGTGGAGAGTACCAACATTTGAGGAGAAGTCAAGTCTGGCAGATTACTGTGGTACGGTACCACCGGTACAGTCGTACGCTACCGGTGCAAGACAAGGTGTTTGGGAGCCGCACTTTTGTTCAACCAATTTCAACAGAACCAGTCGGCAGACACGAAAATTCTATACATTTGTAGCTTATGGCTGCGCCACTTGCAAGCATTGAACTACCCTTTCCTTTTCACTAGCTTGCTTGCTTCTTGTTTGCTTGCTAGCTACCGGTTCTGGTCAGCTCGATTCCAACTTCATTGGGTTCTACGAATTTTGGTCGCCATTCGTAGACGCACATTCCGAGACCTTCCTCTGTGTAACAAGCTTTGACGCCATTCGACAGAAAGAAGAATTGAGGTCTTCCATCATCATCAAGGAGAGGCTTTAAACCGTCCTTGATGACACTGTCATACAACGTTTTTCTCGCGTCCGCAATCTCTACATCTTGGGGTGATCCACTGAATGGGACCGTGGCGACCAGTCGCCGTGGTTGAAACTCGTACTCGCAAAGGGGCTCCGAATCCGGTCTAGCTTCCGGATCAGCACCGGGCAGGGGCAATTTGGCATTGGTTTGAAAGTCGACCGACAAGGGAATGGACCACTTGATCTTTGGAAGAGTAGCTCCTGCGGAAGGAGGCAAAATCTGCACTTGTACCGGAGATGCCGGTACGTAGTCTTGTTTTTGTGGTCCCATGGTTTTGACAACGCAGGAAAAGGCATGATTGGGTATAATTTGGGCATTTCCATCGATGCGACCCGCCTCGGAATCCAACTGTGTGGGAGCCGTGACCAATCGAGCGGGTATTTCAAATACATTGTACTTTTTGGGCAGGAATCCTGATTGTTGCTTCTTTTTGTCCTCGACCCGTGTCATGATTTCGGCAGAGGGTGTCATTCCAATATGGTAGGTATCCCAGAATCGTGGCCATAATTGATCGGCAATGGTGGATATCAAATCGGAGGAAGAATCTAACGAGTCGATTTGTTTGGTAATTGTACGGATCAGGCTGTCGTCTTTGTCGTCGTCGTCGTCTAGATTATTATTTTGGAGGGTGATTTCCGAGGACCCCGTGAGCAAGACGCGAGGTTCCCAAAAGATGGGCCAGACGACGGATATTTGCCATGTCAACTGAATTCGGTTGTTGTCACCCGGTAGTTGTGTTCCTGATACAATGGCGACATCGACGCCTTTGTAGAAATTCAAGGCTTCTTCCAAGCCTGCCAGAGGAGTCGATGATGATTGGGTGCTAAAGCAACTCTCCCACACTAGATTGCTGGCATATTGAATACTAGTAGTGTCTTGTTCTTGTTCTGGAGTCGACGACATGACAACGTAGAGTACCGAATTGATTCGATTTTGTACCGCTCGTCCAATGCGAGCTGCCAAGGGACTACTAAATGCGTTGGTATCTTGGAATCGATCATAGACCGTTGCCGCTGCTTGAACGTCGGCATCCGCCTCGGCTTCGGCGACTGGATCGTAAAACTCTTCCTTTTGTTTGTTACCCCCAAAGAATTCGGCGCCTACAATGCCAGCCGGTTCTTCGATATCCAGAATACCTGACGACGAATCAGTGGATGATGATGGTTGTCGTCGAACCTTTTTCTTGGTGGAAAAGAGTGCCCATGATGGTTGCTGCTGTTGCTGTTGTCGATGTGGAGCGACGCAATACCGGTGGGGCGAAAACGCCAAAGTGGTAGTGACGAATGATGTCAAGAGGAGCAGGGATAATCGAACCATCTTTTAGTTGGGGCAGATGAAGTCCAAGCCTTCTGTTGTTGTGGCTCCTTTCTCAGGTGGATAGAATGGTGCCACGATGCAGATCTTTCTTGGAGGCAGTCCAAGATCAAATAATGAAGGGGCGTGGGATTGTGCTTGATGGGATCTTCAAGGACAGCCATCAAACTCGAGACTGACGTCAGTTTAGAAAGAGGACACATTGGCTGAGCAGATTTTAGTCGACTGGGTCGACTCACCGGTACCAAAGAAGAGATCCGCGATCAAAAGGGAAACGGTTTTCACGATCTCAACAAGGGGAAAGTGGAATGCAAAACGCAAAAGAAACAACAACGCAACAAAAGCTCCCCTCCAAAGACACGAAGACGATGATGATGCGAAGACGGCCACTTACATCCAGAGCCACAGTCAGTACCATGTCTGCCTCTTATGCGCCACTATCGATATGGATCTTTCTGTTATCTCTTCCATTGCTCAATATACCCCTATTGGTCTTGAGTTCTACGACGAGAAGCGGCAAAAACCGAAGGAATCATAGCAGTAGCCACAGTACTATTACCAGTAGTAACAGTCATCACCGTGGATCGCTGGATGTGGATGATGTCCCTGCGAGAACAGATACTGTCAGTCAAAGCAATAGTGGTAGTGGTTCGGCCACAACCACTCTCATTCCGGGCGTGGCTCCTATTGCCCATACCGAAGCATTGAACAACAGAAATATTTCCAGCAAGGTCAAGACGACTGTCTACGATGGCCCTTCCCTTTATACCGACACGCAATGCGCTCCTAACAAACGCATCACACACAATCATTACCTCACCATGCACTACAATACCACCATTGATGCATCGTCCCGCACGGGCAGTCGAGGAAAACTCGTCGATTCCACACATTCCAAACACACGGCGTATCCCGAACCCATCATGGTACACATGGCGGATCAGGATTCCCTGTTGCAATGGACGCAGGCATTGTTGGGACTCTGCAGTGGCGATTGGGTCACTCTGGTGATTCCACCCGAACTCGCATATGGCGACCAAGGAGATGGACGCAGCATTCCCGGTGGTGCCACACTCTCCATGGATATCGAAATTGTCGCCGCACACGACAATCCCGAACAACATTACAAGGTCACGCGCGATGCGACCAAAATGTTTCAAGAAATGGACGCCAATGGAGATGGAAAGGTCACCATTGATGAAATGGAAATCTTTCTGGATGTACCGCCGGACTATCCCAACCGAGACAAGTTTGTTCTGCAGCACTTTCAGCTATCGGACTATAACAAAGATGGAACTGTCAGTTTGGAAGAATTCCAAGCTATTCTGGCCAATTGGCAAGGTATTGATGAGCTCTGATAACAGACATCCAATCCATCAGACACTACACAACACAAACAGACACCAACCCATGCTGCACGTTATCATTGGTAGTCACAACAGACTAACAATTTCGCAGCAGGATTTTGCACAGTTCATTCATTTTAAAAACCTACATTATTATTTGACCATATCCATTATCTAGCTAGAAGACAGCATTCATTGATGTCACACAATGGATGCACTGGTATAGCTAGCTAGAGTGCAACTTTCGTAGCTGCCTAGCTAGTAGAGTTTTTGCTCTCTGGTTGGGAGTGTGGGGACGAGCTACTGCCCTCGGACGCGTTGGCTGAACGGCTAGAATTCAATACCAATTGCAAAACCGAAACCGTTTTGGATTTGGCTCTCACCGGTCACGGTCATAACCAGCAAGAAAAGGGAAAGTTTCGGAAGTATTCCGAAAACCAATTTCGGAAACATATTTCCGCCATCGTGGGCTTCCTCACTGCTGAAAGAGCTGCAGCTTCAATCACGCTGAAAGCTAGAAATGCAAACTAACTGTGTTCTAAAGTAATGAAGTGTGAAACTAAAATACAATTCTAAAAGGGAATTTCTGCGTGTCGAGAAGAAAAGCTAGAGAAACAGACACCACAGAAGGAAGGGGGAGCTCATACTTCGGTTTCGTCTCCGTCGGATGGAAGTCGATGACGGCGTCCCTTTGCAACAGACGTGGATGCGGAATTTGATCCTTCCATCGGTTCTACCTCGTCGGCAAGGTTCACATTCACATTCCGGATAAAAGATCCTGATCCCGAAGTCCGTCGAGCACGGTTATTTGTTGGAGATTCGTCATCGGAGGCGTGCTCGGTGGATCCACTCTTTACCGTGCTGATCATTTCCTGGGGAGAAGGCAATGGCGGTCCTTGATTCAACTCCTCCTTTGGTGTCGCACGCCTCAACACCCATCGAAATTTATCTGAAAACAGCACTGGCACCGGTTTGATGTAGGATTCCGCATCCTTGCGGCCATCCCAATACTCCGACGCCGCATCTCCTTCAGCCTTGGCGCCGTCAATTTCAGTAGGATCCTCATACTCCAAGGCAGGCTGCTCAGGCTTTCGTACCGCTTCAAGCTCACGCAAAGCCTCTTCCTTGATTTCCGAGGTGCTGATGACCTCATCACGGTCGCGGAAGTATTGCTTCACAGCGTTCATGACAAAGGTATTCAACAAGGCCAGGAGAAGCGCAGCCCCGAGCAAAATGTAGGAAGCACTTTCGATAGATGCATCGACACGGAAGCACTGTGCATCTTCTGACTCCAAAAGACCAAAGTAGGAGAGCTGATTGAAGGTCTCCTGGAAGGTGTAACAATAAGAGTTGATCTAAAGAACGAAACGTTAGCAAGAGCGCTAATGCACGAGAATCTTTAGAACCCACGTAGGCCGCTGCATCTTTGTTTCTTCTTACCATGAAAACCGAGATGGGACCGAGCTGCCAGGTGGCCACAATGACGGAAATTACGTATACTTCCATGTATTGCCATGCCTGGAGGATCTCAACAAGAATAGCCATGTGTTTTCGCTTGCGACCCGCCATGGGGACGAACCACTGATACATGAGTACCGCGGTCTGGGCCAACGGAACAATAAGGACAGTGATGATCAAGAGAGCACTGAGCAATCCCATGCCGAGGTAATCCTTCATCTCGTCAAGAAATTTGGCCTGGTCCATCAAAAGTGTGACAAGATCAAAGAGGCTCAACTTGGTACTTGCTTCTTGCCAGTCCTGACCTGATTCGACTGCGATTCCCAGAATTCCCAAGAATTCAAGTCCAGTAGACGGGAGCGTGCAGCCAGCAACAATGAGACCCGAGAAAACAACAGCTCCAAAGACAACGAGGATGTTGACAAAGCCTCGTGTATGGAGCTTGCCGGCTTCTCCTCGGTGTGGTCTCGAAAAAGCATGGCTGTTCAGAAGGTCCTTTCTGTCTCCATAGGGGCAATCATTCGACTCGTCGGACGTTTCTGAGTGCTCAGTCAGTTCAACAAACCTTTGAGAGAAAGCCACCAGGTGGTTCTTCTCCTTGTAAGCTATTGTGGCCTTGTGGACAATGTTTCGGTGGTAGTGAATGATGAAGTGCGAACTGACTTGGGAAATCAACTGCGCAATCAAGTTTGCATACAGACCCCACATTGGAACAACCAAGAGATCGAACGCGTACAAGTCATCTGGCAAAAATCCAAGCTTTGGACTCTGCACCGATACACGGAATGCAGCGACACTCATGATAAGAGTGAAGATATCAACAATCGACCACTTCGCCAGAGTATCGAGCCACAGAAGAATAGAACCCCGACGAGAGATCGAACACCGTGATGTAGGAAGGAACCACAATACCAGTGTGATCAATTGCTTGGTGTAAGGCCAGATACCGGAAAAGATGAGAATGAGACTCGCAAGCTCCTTGCCTCCAGCCTCCCAGATTTCGACGGTAGATCGCGCCAGGCTGAACTGGTAGAACTCATCAATCTGCAAGGTTTGTCCAGCGATGGAGATCTGCATCTTCACTTCAGCTCCGAGACTCAAGTGTCCACTGAGGAAGAATCCAACGTTTCCAATGATGATGACTGGAATAATCCATCGGACGAGGAAAGGAATATCGCTGCTAGTGAACATGGACTCGGTCGTCGCGTTGAGTTCAGCTTCCTTCGCTTCTTCCTTCTCTTGACGTTGCTTGAGAAGCATCAACTGGGAGTTTGGAAGCGTCTTCAACCAATGACCATGACGGCGGCGCACAAAGAAGCGGATAATGAAAACGAACACAGCCAACGCAACCACGAAGGATCCGCCAACAATCATGAGGATGATGGCCAATGACGTGTCGGTTTCAGGAATATCGGTTTCGAACTTTTGATAACTCATTTCGGTGAATGACGGCTTGAAGTCAGGGCTGTGAGGACAACGCTTCGCAGCGTCGTTTAGACTGCGATCAATCGCATTTTGGATCAAGCCACCACTCAGGACGTCTCCCATATATGCGAGGAAGTCGTTCGCCGCATTCGTCATATCCCTCGAAGCTTCAGGGGTCGCCCAGAGATCCGCAAGCTTTTGGAATCCAGGACTAGAGCACTCTTTGCAATCAATGCCAAGATCAATCTGCTTCATCGTTAACAAAAGCTGGTCAACAGCCGCCGATTGGTTCACGCCATCTTGACGCACGCCGTAAACGTCCATGGCAGGAGGGGGCATCGTCGCCAACCAACAATCAAGGTTGAAGATGTCTCCAAGCGGGAAGGCAGCAAAACGATATTCGGATACTTTCATAAGCGCTGCCAGGAGCGCCGTTGTGGAATGTAGACTGGCGCTGACTTCGAAGTCATTTCTGATTTTCCCGCCTTCAGTACAAATCAAATCGTGTTGAAAAGGTTAGCGCAAGTACTGGAGCCCGCACACGTGATGAGCAATCGTCGCCTTACCTTCATTGGAAACATCTACAACAATCTTCACGCCAAACCGGAGTGGCTCGCCGACGCCGACAGTAGCCGTGTTGTTGATCAGGTTGGGCCTGTCCTGCACGGGGTCCAACAAAGACAATGGGTTTCCAAAAGTGTCGATATTCTCAATTCGTAAGTCCGCAACTCGGAGCTTGATTCCAGTGGGTACCGGACCAAAGTCTAACTTGATATACTCGTTGATGTAATCGCCAGGGAAATACAAGTTTCCGCCCTCGGTCAATGGACCAATCACGTCAGTATTGATGCGCGATTCCCCGCTTGGGGACACGTCTAGAATTTCGGATTCGATCAAAGACCACACGGATCGGATCAAATCGCCGTATCTGGAGTCACCGTGACCTCCGATGTCCTTAGACAAGGCCTCGGGCAAGAAGAGGTCGCGGAAGTCCATGAAAGGTGCCCCTGCGGCCTTCATCAATCGTCTTGAAATAGAGAGCGAATCCAGGAGAGGATTGGAGCAACCTTCACCGTTTTCGGAAATCATGAAGGCGAACAAGCTGTTCAAGAGAGGACGGAAGGCGTTGTCAAAGACAGAAGGAAGTGACGAATGCATTGTGGCTTCATAGCGCTCGAAGAGTGTGTCGACCAAGGTTGTGAGCGAAGCGTCCGTCTCATCCATCAAGCCTACAACAGCTGGTTTGTGGATGCTTCCCACATTGACTATCATGTGGGGGAAGCTGAACCCGTAAATAGCTGAAAAGAAACAGGGCAGGAAGTTTGGAAGGCGGAGAAGAGATCCCACCTGCAGGCTCCTCAAGATGTTCTTGTCAATGGCGGCAAACAGAGGCAAAGAAGCGCTCAGATCGTCAAATCCAAACGCAACCTGAAGTCTCTTCGAAGCTTCTGCAGAACGAATGTCAAAGTCAAGCTTCAGCACCAAGTTTCTCATAGCCAGGTCGTTCGCGAGTGTCTGTGGCGCGACAGGGACACCAACCTCGAATCTTGTGAAAGTATCGAGGCCTTCGATGCGCAAGGAGTGGAAATCGATGGCAAGATCCTGAGGACCAAACGAAACTCCCTCGAGATCCCACTGGAAAACCCCATCAGCACCAAACATCTCGCGGATGAAGATGTTAACGCTCAAGTCCTCCTTTCCGGTGACTGGATCAACTCGAGTACCGCTGAGCATAGCCAAGAACTCATCGAGCGCAGTGTCGAGGTAGGATGGAAGATTGAGACTGAAATCGGTGAAGTTGACAAGGTCGCTACCTTCGGGGATCGTGAATGCCCTTTGCTCAACCAGAGCGTCTTGAGGGTTTACCTCGGTCTCGGAGTACAGCTGGGTGAAAACGACGAAACCAACCTGAATGGTAGTGGCAATGACAAATTGTACAGTGTCGATGGAGGTCTCTGAGAGAGTGGGGACTGGCAAATCGGCATAGTTTTTGCCGATAGAGTCCGCGTCTTCGGTGTATTGCGGCTTGTGAGGGCACTGGGCTGCGGCATCATTCACCAGTCGATCCAAGAACGTCTGGAAGGACTCGCTCACAACAACATCATCGACAAGAAATCTGAGGCGAGCTGCCATAATAGAGGTGACATCAGTCTCACTCAGCAATTCGAGGATGCTTGGCAGCAGGTTCAACCCATGGGTTGTACAGCTAGTGCACTCCACAGCAACGCCCAGGTCTTGAAACTTGTTGGAGAACTCGGCCAGGGACACGCCGGCCTCTTCGGTGGGGTCAACTCGGAATCCAAGTTCGTTCAATGTAGGAGCAAGAACGGTGGCCAACCAGCACGAAAGATTCAACAAGTCATCAATGGGAAAATTCAACAACGACATGGCTTCGACGCGAGCAACAACTCTTGCAAGTGCCTCAAACGCGGAGGATGACATGCTGATGAGAACGTCGTTCTTCATGTGGTAAGGCGATCCTTCTCCAAAGGAAAGGGAAAACATGGCAGACACGTTCAGTGGGCGGTTTGCAACAGGTCCAAAGTGAATCTCGTTGTCTAATTCGTGTGGATGTTCGGTGGGTTCCAAGACACGAAAGGGAGGGACCATGGTATCCAGATTGATCATTTGTACATCCGACAATGCCAACTTGAAACCGGACAAGAGGATATCAAACCCAGCCCAATCGATGTCGCTCGCCGACAAGCTGAACAAATCTCCCGGGAGGTGCAGCATACCCTCGACACCCGACTGCTGTTCTGTCATGACGCGGATAAACATATCATTGGCGGAAAGGGTTCCATCTTCTTCAATGGTGGCAAGCTGTGTCTTGATAAAGTTGAATGCCGACGTTGCCAGAGTTCCATAAGGTGCGGTTCCCGACGCGCCCATGGCCGTGGATTCTTCCGGGGACAAGAGCAAATCGCGGAAATCAATCAGGCCGGGAGTATCCTTGACTCCGGGACATTCTTCGTCGTACGTGCGGAAAAAGACTTCATTCAATAGATCCTTGACACTGGTCTGGAAGATGTTGGGCATGGCACGAATGACGACACTCTCGTACATTTCAAAGGCCGCCATGGCGGACTGGGTGACGACGGCGTCGATTCCGGGGGAGATGAATCCGTCAAAGGAAGGAATCCCAATCTTGCCAATGTTGGCTTCCAATACGGTAACTTCGGACTGGTAGACAGATGACCAAAAGCAGGGCAAGATGTTTTCCGTCCACATGAGCGAGCCTAGTTTGAGTTTTCCAAAAGCATCGGAATCAATGGCCAACAATGCAGACATGGTAGCGTTGACGTTTTCGACTCCGAACCTCATTCGGACCTTTTCGACGATATGAATGTCGCTGTCTTCGTGAGTGGATTCGAGGATGCTTGCCTCTCCCAGTGTACTTGGTTTCATGTCAATGGTAGTATCGACTTCAAAGGTGAGGAAATCCCACGACAAAAAGTTCTGCAAGGTGTACTTTCCCTGATTGATAAAGGGAGCAAAGTAGCTAAAGGTATCAAGACCAAAGACCCGGATGACGTCAATGGTGATTTTGGTTTCGGTGAATTCATCGTGTCCTTGAAAGATGACTGGTTCAAACTCGAATGGAAAGTCGTCGACACTCATTTCGAGTGCGCGGTTATCATCTAGAATGTTTTCGCGCAAGAAAATGTTGACTCCCAGATCTCTTCCATTGCGTTCGGGAGGAGCGTTGGGATCAATCAACCACACTCCGAGTGCGGCATCGACTTCTTGTAGGGCACTGTAGAACCATGTCTGATCTTCTCCCTCATCTTGAAAGTTCATGAGCGAAATGTCCGTGGGAAGCGTCATGTTGTCTTCGGCAATGGTAGCATTCGTCTGCCACGGCTCGAGCGGCAGCAAATAGGGTTCGAGCAATTCGGCGGCCCGATCAATCATGTCTTGTACCAACTCGGTTCCCAAGGCACCCAGTTCGACACATGCCGCGTCCTTGACGGCATCTTGTACATATCCCCGTAAGAGTCCCTCAAAGGCATTGAGTACGGCGTCCGTGACGGTTCCCGTAAAGGACATGTCGGTAATGGTAATGTCGGCATCGCAGGATTCCATGCGACTGGATTTGGGAGGATGGAGTGCGTAATCGTCGGATTCAAAGACGAGTTTTGTTTTGGCCGTGTTGTCGTTCAAGTCAATAGTGGCGACGCCAGCTCCATTAAAGAAGGAGTAGGTCCATTCGTAGTCAAGTGTACATTTCAAGTCTAGATCGTTGATATCGACGAGAAACTCGAGCATCTGAGCACTGGTCATGTTGTAGTTAATGTCCATTTTGCCAAGGACAATGTTGAAGCACTTGATGTTGCGGGCTTTGAGATTGAGATCGGCAAAGAGGATTTGTTGGGACGTTTCAAAGTCGGGAAGCCAGACAGTGATGCGCTTGAAGAGTTCACGAAACTCGTCAAAGTCTTCGGCAGTAGATTGTAGATGGCGCAGGTTGTCGCCAGTTTGTCGATGCAACTGTTGGGCTAATTCATCACTGACTCGATGGAGGGCTTCTTGAGACACCACAGAGCTAATGGAAGAGCTCCTTTCGATGCTGCTATCAATGCTGGCGGCGGATGGTGTGACAGCTACCACCAAGGAGGCACAGGCCAGGAGGGAAACTAGGAAGCGTCCGAGTTGATTCATTGTGAAGATAATGGTATAGAAGAGAATAGAATGGAAAGAAGGGTATACAGCTAGAGCAGATTCAACCAATCAATCTGCTATCTGATGATAAGAGGCTGGAAGAGATAATGGAGGTAGGTAAGCTTCAGGAAGAAGTTGCTTGCTGGCTTGGATGATTCGATTCTACGAAAGAAGAAAGTTGTGAACTTGCTTGCTTCCGCTCTTCAGGAGTGATGATGAGCGATTCGTATCAAATGAGCAGACTGGCGGTGCCGCAGGTTCGTGCCAACTCTCAAGCTTCCAAAAGAAAGACTGATGTGGTTTAGAGTAATAGTAGCACGATACTCGGAGCCAAGGATTGCCTTTTTGTACAGGTTGTCGGCTACCTTCTGTGAACGTCACAAGCTACAGTATCAATTTGAATGCTGGTCTTGCTTGGGCGACGATTAGCTTGTACAGTGTTATGCAGGGTACATCACCTGCTGCCATAAATCTATCTTAAATCTGGTAAACTCGGAATCCAAATCAAACGGCACGATTGCTGCCTCACATTATTCCCCATGAAGCATACCGGTACCGCACGTACCGATTTTGCTGGCTCGTGTAGATCTCACCACTCGCCTAATTCATTGGGCGGCCAAGGAACCAGCGCGGGTAACCTCGACCGGCGCCAATCATGCTTGTTGTGGATGCATGTTCGATGGGTATGAGAAGACATTAGATAGAGTTTTGCATGTCAAAGCATGCACCTCGTTGGGTGGATATGCCCTTCGCAAGTTTTGCATTGCTTGGATCTATTCTTTGACCTTCGGTAGACACCCGTGATCATCCACAGCCCACTGTTTCGAGGACAAACCTGACTCCTAGTACAACAGTCATCTCAAGGACCTACTCATTACCATCAACACTCTAGAGGGCTCTATTCCTGGGAACGACGCTTGGATCTTCTCATGGATCTACCTACCCACGGAAAACCTTGGCCAAGTGCAACTCAGGGAGCTCCTTGGTTCCATCACCGGGATCACTCCAGAATGATATACAGAAGAAAAAAACTGGATCTATGCTGCTCCCAACATCACATAATTCCAGATCCATCTCCAGGCCTGACACCGGACCTATGCGATGCATACACCCACTCATCAACACCTCAGCCAATTCTAGTAGGTGCACTTTAATGTTAACATTGATGGTAAACCATCACCTTTGTTTTGTAATGATCCGTGTCCGTCTAGGAAAACCTGGAACATGAAGAAGACATTTATTCATCGGATAAAGTTCCAGAGACACTCATTGTCATTTAGTACTTTGAGTGCCGGATTCTAGAGACTCCGAGTACGTCACTTAACAACACACACACAAGGAAAGGTCCCATTGAACCAGCACTTTCCCGTGACAGAAAGGGGCACTAGCTAGTGACTCATTGAGTCACACAAGCAAAGTGAGCCAGTTTGGTTTGGGCGCCAACACGAATGCTGAAGTGTCATACGGTACAGGACCAGTAGGTGCAGACAAGATTGGGTAGCAACGCCTGGTTGTTGCCACTCTTGTTGAGCAGTCCTTGGAAGCTGGGAAAATTGAGCAGATCTGTGACCGGAAAGCGTTGAAACAAGTGCGGGGAGCTGGGAAGCTGCAATTGTGCTGGCATGGTAGGAGCCTGCACCAATTTGGTCGCTGCTACAGCTAGTACCAGGTATCGGTAGCTAGGCGGTCAGGCAACGAGCAAATTTCAGAATGCGTGTTCGTCTCAACAAGTCACCAATATATATATATTGGTTTAGTTAGTAATACCGACATCAAGGGCTGATTTTGGTGGGATGTAAACCTGCAACCATCGTACTAGTGAGATGGTGAAAGAACGCGGACTGCCTGAGCGGTCTGGTGGATGCAAGAGACTTGTTTTATGCCCTGCCCACCACATCGGAAACATGTGTGCTGGCATTTTAAAATGCGAAGCAGAGCCAGAAGATTTGATCGCTCCTCAGTCAACTTGCTGCACACAGGTCCGAATACTCCGGGTTGAAATAAATGCGGTCACTGCCTTCTGTGCACGTCCCACGCCTTTCTTTGAGGCCCAGCTGCCGAATTGAATTCCTGCCCTGACACTGCATCTTCATTTCCCCTTCTAGTAGCTCTAGCAATGTAGAATCGTTCCTATTCTAGGTACTAGCTAGCTAGAGCGGCTAGAGTGGCCAACAAACATCGTCACGGGCTTTGCTGAGTGGTGACTGGTACCGTACCGTATCATGTGACCGTTCGCTATCGCTGGCCTTCTCCTTTAGATCTTTCACAGCCTAGCTGGTTTCTTATAGGTCACAAAGCAGACATCGGATCTTTTGAAGTGTGTCAACGAAGGCGGAGACGACGAAGATCCCACACCTCAAGGTAAAAGGTAAAGCACAGTTTGAATGAATAAGCTGTTGCTTCCTTCCTCGATAGGTACCATACCAGAACAAATCCAGCAAGCTAGAGCCTTGCCTTTGCGATCTCGATCTCTGAATCCATCTATCCGTCGGAGTTCCCTGCTACCAAACCAAAAAGACAAGATGACTCTGAAGATTTCGTCGTTGTTCTGTCGAATTCTACCGTTGGCTTTGTTGCTGCCAACGGCATGCCATGCTCAGATTCAAAAGTACTTTACCAATGAGGTGAACGAGCGTGCTGGTCCCTGCCCTGACGATCCCCTTCAGATCGGATACAAGCACATTATCGATGTCAACACCGACCAACAAACTGAATCGGACCGTGTGGCTGCTGGCCAAGCTCCTCGGACACCCTACGTGTTCCCCTTGTGCAACCGATTCAAGTATCTGATGGAAGAGCGAGTCTTGGAGGTGATATTGCCAGATATTACGTTTGTCTGTGGGTACAATGGCACCAATGTGGAGCTCTGTGTCTTGGATGGAAACGAATTTCAAGTCAACGTCGCACCTGGTTCCACCACTACCAATGCTACCTTTGCAGGAATTAGTTTCTTCTCCTACACGGGCGTCGCAGTCAAAGCATATGGCGATGTACGGTCGAACATCCGATTCAACGATGTCAAATTTCAGGGATTTCAGAATTCCGCCACGGCCATCCATCAAAGTAATCCTGTCGGTGATAAACCCATGAATGTCTTTGTCGACACGGTCCTTTTCGAAAATGGTGTTGGACGCCATCTCATTGATAATGAAGGAGGAACTCTCATCGTCAACGATCTTACCATTGGGGAAGGCGTGATTGCGGATTCTGTCATTCGGACTTCCAAGGCTGGAACTTCAACGCTCAAAACTGCCTCGGCGACGCTTAGTGATTTGGTGGTAAGTACGCAAGGATGATTTCTCATCGTTGCACCAATTTGTCGGAAACTCTCTTGCCCACCACTTGCATCCTTTGCTGTTGTAGCGCTTTACACAAACAGAAGGGGGCAGCACTCATACAGTCACGGGGCTTACAGTCACTGAAATGAACAGTCTCGGGACGGTGCTCTATGTTACGGATGGAGGTTCCTATTTGTCAGCTACCAACGTCAATGTCAACAATATCAGAGTGTTGGAGGCATATCGGAAAAAGTTTATGGAAGACTTTACAGTACAAACTTCACGAAACTTTAATGTGCTGGTGGCCACAGACCAGGCCACAGCGGATGGAACTTCCTTCACGGTCAAGGATTCTGATGGAGTGGATGTGAGTGGGTGGTTTTTCTTTCTTTCTGGAGTGTTGGCAATACAAGAACAGGAGCATGACTCGACTCACCCAGCCTTCTTATTTCTCTCGAGCAGCGTGTGTTTAGTGCCAGTAATGGCGCCGTTGTCAACATTCATGACTCGTCAGCCACCAACCTTGTTGGCACAAGTGTGAGTGTTTAGGGATATAACCTTCCACTGTGCGACGAGGTCCTTGCTTGCCCGTTGACTGACGAATATTCTTTCATAACAACAGCCACCCGACTTGCTGAGTAACGTTGCCATGGCTGAGGATGGAGGCTCGATGAATGTCCTGAGGCTTCAAGTGGCAAACGTGGAGTGGTTCAGTGTAAGTGTGACAATTGGGTCGGAAAAGTCTGGCACACACACCCGAGCTTACTGATGACATGTTGCTTCTCCCGATCCATACCTCCCGTTTTTTGTGTATCCATTCTATTACTAGACGGTATTCTGTGCCATTTGTGGCAGTACCATTCAGGTGTTGAACTCTTGCGTCGACGGTGGCCGCGTTAGTGCTCCTGCGTTCAAGAGTGCCGATTCTACCATTGATCCTGCCACCAGCAACAACTACATGAATGTCGAGGAATTGACCGCCGACCGTTGTTTCAACAACCAGCAAGCTTCGGTCTTTTCCGAGCAAGACACGGGCGAAGCCTGCTTTAGCGAAACCGGAACGGGAGCTTGCGAGGGACAATGCATTGCAGGATTTGCCGACGCTGGTGAATGCATGGTGGAAGGAGGCCCCGCCGCGGCTCAGGTGACCCCCTCCGTTGCGCCCCCGGCACAAGCCAACCCCAGTTGTCCTGCATCTCCTCCCACACCTGTTCCTACGTTGCCACCTGGCTTTACTGTCAATGGTATTCCCCCCGGTGGCGGCGAACCAGTCGTCGAAGAGACTATTCCACCTGGTAATCCAGGAGGTGCTCCATTGGGAGGTGGTACTCCTGGAAGCTCTCCTGGCGGTTCACCGGGTTCGCCTGGAGGCAGTGGCGGCGATGGAGTGAACAGTGCTGAACCCCCCAGCGGCGATGGAAGCAGTGCCAATCAATATTTCCATGCCTTTTCCGTTGCGGGTGCACTGGTTATGGCCAGGTTGGTACACAGAGTGTTGTTTTAAAGGAAAGGAAGCACTACATGGATCTCGGGGAATTTCAGTGACGAGAGGCAACCAGCAAAAACGCACAATCCACTATCACCAATAACAAAGACTACTGTGTAGTCTTCAATATGTCTAAATCAAATCTGCATTTGTTTCTAACTAATGTAGCTACCGGTAGAAAAAACTACATGTGTACCTACGAGTAGAGATTCAGCAAGATTAACCAGTAGAAAGTGGCTCTTCCATTGAATCATAGCACTAGCTAGTCTATATAAGCCGTGTTCCATGACATCAATCTATCTTCTGTGCTGCTGTCACCGCAGATGTTGTTCCTTGTGGTTGTTACTCAAAATCAGTGCTATGTTACGTCCTGTGACACTTCGCTTCCTACTAATTTACTTGTGCATGTAGATTCCAATATCGGCTTCGAGCATGGTCAATTCATCTTTGCTACGTCTTCCAAAGGCTTCCATATGATTGAGAATGGGACATCCATGTCCACAATTGTTTTGATTAAACGTGGCTTGTGTGGTTCCCCCCAAATAGGCATCGGTATCGACATGCCGAATCCGGACCGTGGTTCCACGTTTCCATACTTTGGTATTGCATTCGACGATCCAATTGTCGCCGGCATCCCCCTTTCCATCTCCCGTTCCAAATCCGGTGACTTCTTGTTGTCGCGAGAGAGGACTCTTGACACCGTGAGAATGCAAATTGGTGGTTGTCTTTAAATGGGTCAATCGAATGGTGCTACCGCATTGGACGGGTGCTGCCGTTTCGGCACAGGTATCTCTTGTAGCGGAGTCTTTGGAGGGATATTCCTGTTCGGCGCTCTCATCGTGATGTTTGGGTCGAATTTGCCAGAGTGTCCCGGTGTTGGAGGGATCATTTTTCATCCAGGTGACAATTTGTTGTCCCGATCCTCCGTGCATTTGAATGTCTTCACTGTAGAGATGATAGGTGGCGGTGGATCCTCGTTGAGGAATCTTTAATTTAATGACGGAACCGCAAGTCACCACCATATTGTCGTCTGATGATCAAAAAGAGAGATTGGATTAGAGTAAAATAATAGCATGGTGAGCAAGATTCAATGATAAAAGAAAGTTATGGAAAAAAGACACCCCAGATATCCATTTCTAAGTAAAGGAACAACTGTAACATCCGAACGTAAACCAACGTACCTGCAGAGACAAAGGCTTGTAGCAACAACAGGAATGGAACGATTGACTTGATCATCTTACTAGTATCTCTTTTCTGACTGCGGGATGGTAATAATGGTAAGGTGGAGAAGGAATGGAAATGGTCGATCGAAGTGTTGGCATTGCTGCATGAAACCTGTAGCCTGCGAAAGAAGCACATTGCGATGTGACCGGTAAAGAGTCACGTTATGCTCATGACTTAATTCAAAAATAAATGGTTGAGTGACGAGTGGCCTCAAATCACGGGACTTGCCTTGGAAGCTTTTCTCAAAATTTGCTGAAAGTCATTCAGTTGAACTTCGTTCGTCTCCTTTTCTCTTGATAGGTTTGTTTGAATAAACTGAGAGAATGATGAATGAGAGTGGCAAGATGACACGCAAGAACTACCTGAATCCTCAGCCTCACTACCATCAGCTCTATCACCAGCATCCTCCTCCTCATCATCAGCATGGTCCCCCAACTCCTACCTCTATTTCACCCTCTAGTACCGGTAGCAGGAGACCTGTGATGAGCAATCATAATAGGAGGTCCTTGAATACCAATGGTAGTAGTAGTGGTAGTAGCAATCGCATGGTGGGAGTGGCCATGTTTGCCGGCATGGCCGTAGCACTGCTCTACCAGATGGGATACTACGGTTTCTCCATCATGATGGAAACCAATTCTCTATCGTCGGCACGAAAACATCGTCAACAACTGCAACAAGAAACCGCCACCATGGTCAAGGCACCCACTGTTCCCAGGGAAGAACATGAAGAACGGTTGGAAGACAACGAACACGCTCCCCCCATTGACGTTGGGTTGCTCATGCAACAGCAACCACAAGAAGAACCAGAACCACCCAGAAAGAGTCCCATCAATCAACATCTCGTGTCCGGAGATATCGCACGCATGATTGCCCAAAAGTTGGCCAAACAGTACGAATTCAATCCAGAAGAAGAACATGTAGGAGAAGCAGAAGAACCGCGGGGATACAATCAAGTTGTGGAAAGAAAGTTTAGTTTTCAAGATGCCTTTGCCAGGGACACGGCCCAGGAACACCCACCACGCAACAGCAGAAAGAGTCGACATCCCGATGACTACGATGAGGACGAAGAAGACGTCGACGAACAAGGATTTCTTCCACCCAAACAACCACAACAACAACAAGAAACAGTTTCCAGTAATGTGGTCCCCATTCCAATCGTCTCTAGTCAACAAGTACCCAAGGGAATGCCCAAATACGAAGGAGAATTGCCCGACGATTGGAATGCCATTCTCAAACTACGAAGAGAATTCATGGCCAAACATCATCCACCCCCCAAGGCAACCGTCACCATTGGCAAGGGCATTTCGGTACGATTGCCACAATTACAACAACCACCACAACAACCACAATTTGGTCCCAATGGAGAACCCATTATTCTGCTACGCTCCGATGCCCTCTATCAAAAGGGAACCTGGGACAAGTCACCCATTATCATTGAAAAGTACAAACTGGTTTTCTTTACAGTCCCAAAGGTCGGATGTACCGCATTTAAACAACTCTTTCGAAGAATCATGGGATACGACAATTGGAAAGATCATCAGTGTAAGTACCGACATAATGGAAAGCTGTGTATACAACCTGCTCTTCAGGAACAATCCCTCTTATCTTGCATCCTATCCTACGCACATCATATTCACAGACTACAATGAACCCTTTCTTCCTCACAATCCCGCCACCAACGGACTCAAATACTTGAGCGATTATCCCTTTGAACAAGCCAACGAAATGTTGACGTCTGACGAATGGACGCGTGCCATTTTTGTACGCAAACCCGAAGAACGCGTCCTATCCGCATTTCTAGACAAGGCAGCGTACAGTAAGGGATACTACCTACGCATGCGCTGTTGTCCCAAGTTTACGGCTGGAACCGATCCCTGGAAACTATTGCAATGTGGAACGGGAACCAAACAATACACACCTCCCGCTCCAGGTGAAACCAATACACCCATCATGACATTTGAACAGTTCTTGACCGATATCATGCCGCATTGTAGTGATCCTCATTGGGAACCACAGGCCATTCGAATGGCCCCAAAGTATTGGGAACGCATTAACTTTGTCGGGCGGTTTGAATCGTTGCAAGAAGATACCAAAGCCCTCCTGACGAAATTGGACGATGCCTGGGATACCTACGGTGCCAAGGGTTGGGATGATGGTGGGGCCATTTTTGATATCAGTCAAAAGGCCAAGCATGGGACCAAAGCACAAGACAAGGATAGCAAATCCAAGTTTTTCACAAAGGATGCTTTGACCACGATCGCCTCGTACTACGATGCCGACTACGTTCACGACAAGTTGAATTTTGAACGACCAGTGATTGACTGATTGGGTGCATGAAGTACCGTGCGGAACGGAAGGCAAGCCGACAACGATTTGATTCATTCTGCGGGAGAATGAATCCTCGGCGGATGCGACCGAAAACCATGCAACAGTTCCCTCTACTAATCTGACAATGGAGGCAGTTTTCAGGGTTGTTTGAAGCTGGAAACGAGTGGAAGCGCTTGCCTTTACCTGGGAAACCTTGAAACCGGCAGCTCCTAGCTTGGAAACACAGCACGTCGTTGAGTCACTTGAATCCTAGGAGGTCCACAGCCATGACACCAAAGAGCAACATTGTTCTTGGAGTACCCTAGCTAGCTACCTTTGTGCGGGTACCAGTAACAATAATACAGCACTTCGTTACATCATACAGTAGTTACATTGGTATTGTCGAAGAAATACATCTACACTTCAATGGCGGCATCAGCATTGTTTGATTCCAGGTTTGTACAATCGGTTGTCGGCTCTTCGTCCGTGTCCTGCGGTGCATCATCCGATGGCTGCGACTTCGAAGACTCGTACTGCGATTGCTCCGCCACAGGCCCGCCGCCCAAGACTTTGCGCAGCACGTCTCCTTTGGGACCTTTCCCAAGCTCATAGTGCATCTTGGCGATGCTTTCATCTTTTTTGGTCTTGCCAACTCGTTCGCGCCACGCAGCGTCGCGGCGACTAATGGCCGAAGCCTTGATGAATCGTTCCGTGGCAGCTTCCCAAGTAAGCTTGTGGATAAGTTCCTGTCGCAACGGTTCGGGATCGTGGGTTATTGCGTACTGAAGAAAGTCTACAAACTCTGCTTTGGTCTTGTACAGGAGGCAGTTGGGGAATTGGTGAAAGAATGAATTGGATGGATGGTCAGGGATGATGACAAACTTGCCCATGGCTGTCGCCTCTGCGGTGGTGGTACAGAGCACTTCGGTGATGGATGGATTCACAAAGATCTTGTAGTCACTCGTCAGCAGGGCATGGTCTTTCCGCCCTTTAAAGTCGGCGGGGACCGGTGGATTGGGTCGGACAAATTTGGAATAGTAGGTTGCCCGACGGCTGGTATTGTTGCTGCTGTTGGTGTCCGGTGCTGTTTCGGCATTGGGTGTGTCTTGCGACCCACTGCCAGTTATCCGATTGGTCAAGTCTTCCAGGGCACTGCTACTACTAGTCTTTCTGCCAAGGAATCGAGGTCGTTCACTCAAGAAGGCTTTCTCAATCTCCTCTTGCTCGGGACCACTCCCATAGATTTCAATTGGAAAATAGTTTCCCGTCATGCTTCGATAAGCTGCTTCGAGTTCCAGCAGCTTGTCGAGACCTTTGGCCCACAGCATCTTGCCCACGTAGTATATCTTATTTTCATTCTTGTCACTGTTAGTGCCCTTCTCCAAAGCATCCCGTGCACGGCGTTCCCCTTCGAGAATAAAGTCATGCCGGATGCCATGAACATTGGACACTACTTCCTTCTCGGGGCAACCAAAGGACTGGAGGACAGGAGACAGCTTGATCACCTTACTGCAGTATGCCCTTACAAGCCAGGATGAAATTCCAGCAATCAGTGGTCCCGTGATGAAGGAACCAGCCACTATTGCCGTGGAGGCATATGCCTTGTAGTTTGTGTGCACAACGCCGACAACATGATTGAAATGATCTCGCCAGTGCTGGGCACGGTAGAAATGGACATGCTCTGGCTCTTCCAGGACACAGACAGCATCCTTGCTAATTTCCAGGTTGTTTTGTTCCACAATGAATTCACAGAGGTCCCCCATGGCAAAGATGGAGGACAACTTGGAGTGATATCGTGCTGGGTAGAAAAGGATTTGAATACCTCCCTCTGCGGAAGGCTGGGCTTCTTCTGGCATGTTGGCTTTGGACAACCAATCTCGAATATAAGCTTCTTGATCGGCTTGTGTCTTGTCCTGCCAGTCTGATCCGTACAGCGCTACTCGGTCTTGTTCCACTTCCAACCAGGGAATGACCAGAGTGACAGTACAACGATTGGGAGCGAATTGTCGTCTCTGAAACTGAGAAAGGGATGCTGCTCGGAGCAGGGGGTTAACTGCAGTCCCCGTGAACCATGGTAACGCGGCTGTGGTGACAATAAAGTTATCTCGCAGTCGATTCAGATCGGATTCGTGGGTTGGCAGGTGACCATCCACCATGGCTTTCTCTTCTTCATTGAAACCAGTTGGAGTAATCAGTTGTTGCTTGGTTTTGGCAATCAATGAGGTGATGGAACTAGTTGAAGAGGAACCAACCGAGTATTTGGAAAAGAAGTTCAATCTCTTGTTGGGTTTGGGAGATAAGGAGCGATTTCGACGATGTCTGCTAGGGGTACACGTGGTGGTTTCTCCTGTTCGCCTGGCGTCTATAGCCAGTGACCGTTCCACCACACCATCATCGTTATCATTATCATCGTCAGAAGAATCACTGTCATTGCCATCATGATCGTTCTCGCCAGGGATCAAGAGAAGACCTTCTTTTCGATAGAAAGAAAGCACGTGTGGTACGGGTAGACATTGGCTGGAGCCTGAGGTGAAGGAGCAAGTAGTAGTTTCTTCATTAGCCGGAGATTCGTCTTGGTCTGAATCAGAAGATAAAGAGGTAGAAGACCAAGAGCGCGGAAGGGAACTGGCAGGAGTATCTGATGTCTCTGTGACTTCCGGTGCTACCTCTGTTTCGCTACCCGTAATCTCGGGGATCTCGGCATTGCTCTTGGAGGCTTGGTTTCCCATGATACCGGTACTGCAGGATCTTCTGATCTATGAGACAGAACCTGCTGACTATAGCTCTCTAGAGTAACGCGTAGGTAAAGGTTGTTTCTGCGAGGCTCGTTTCGTTTCGTTGAGGTTGTTTCTGTTGAGATAAAAGTTGATAGATAGGTTTGAAGTTTAGTGGTGTTGTTGTTACGTTTTGTGCAAGTGTTACGTGGTCCATCAAACAGACTTTCTCCATGAGAGAAAATTCCCACGCTGGCAGGGACTTCGAATCCATTCCATTCCAATGGAATCGAATCAAATCCAAATCACGCACCGGGCACAGTTCATACCATACCAGCACCCAAAAATACACAAGACTCCTCCGAGGGACTGCTGTGACTCGGCCAAAACAAGAATGAGACTCCACGGTGTGAGTGACTCGACTCGACTCAGTCGAGTGGAAGTCTACTGAACAATCAATTAATGATCAGTGGACACTCTTTGAAACGTGTCTAAAGCTACCGGCTACCGGTACCTGGTAGCGGTACAAGTTTTATGATGGACTTTATTTACACGTGCATGTGGGATAGTTTGCCATTGGTATGTGGGTTGTCTGAGATTCAATGGAAGACAAACCAATCTTTTATATAGAAGAATAGTTACAAACAAGGCCAGAAGATTCGAAGGGTGAGCCACGACTTCAGGCTTCGCTTACTATGACAATACTAGGGTTGCACTGGCCTGAGGTTACCTCGACACTCCCTTTCTTTTGCTCGCTTCAGTGATCTTGGATGCTATGAGTATCCACACGGTGGCAGCCACCGGCCAATTTTGAAAGAACAGGAGCTATGGTGGCAGCAAGACGAGACAGAAGTTTCTGGGCTGATGGGGGCCCTTAAAACATTTCACATCTGTCCAGGATCAGAGAAACGAGACGGACAGAGAGGTACAATCGTATGTTTGGTCAATGATGCCATGGCTATGCAATTGACCAGGACAATGGTGCTGTGCTACCGAGTTCTGGCGACTGCAAGTTTCTACGTGTACAGGTGCGTGTATCTATCTCCACATCTACCTGGTTGCTTCCGTCCAGCCATCTCTGAACTCCGTTGTTGGATGCACTCTCATCACAAACTCACATAACATAATACTACAGTACTTGTCTTATGGTTTTGCTGCTTTCCCACCGCGTGGTTTTGCTGCGTTCCCACCCCGTTTCAACGCGGCATATTTTGAAATCCCTTTTGGTAGTTCTACTTCGGGCAGTTTCGACATGAGCATTGCAAGCTGCGGGGTTTCATGACCGTCCGAGCACCAGACTTTGAGGTTTGTTGGCAGTTTGTGCGCGCCCAAGTCTTTCCATGGACATTCCCTCCAAGTAACATCACGGAAAATCTTGGTATCTTCGGAGGGGGTCTTTCCAAATTCAAACATGACTCTTGTTTCTCTCAATCGCAGCATCACTCGGTCAATCCGTACCCACAACCGAGCCAACACGAAACCACAAGTTGGCATGACACGAATCTTTAACGAGTATTGAACGTGTCCATTGTCGTGAAGGTCGTCTTCGTACAGTACCAGTTCATCAAAAAACAGGATGGGTACACTCTTGTCTTTTAGCATATCCAGTTTTAGCCCAGATGACGGCAACGGATCCCAGAACCCACCCTCCACGGACCCACAAAATGGAGAACTGTACGTCCAGTCAAAGTGAAAGACTTCAGTGGACATTTTCCCGTCCGGTATCTTATTGTTCTTGTTTTTGGCCCACAACTCGGCATCTTCGCTCTTGAGCACCGACACACCATTATTCTCCTTATCGGAATTCACAGGAATCAACTGATGTGCTTTGGCCCAATCATCGAGAGAATCGAGTACATCCCATGAAATCCAAAGATTCTGTTTTCGGTGTTCAAAGGCCACATGCGCCGCGGGAAATACCATTTCGGGCAGTGCGAGCCGTCTCCTCGTTGCAGTTTTGTTGCCGCGATACTGTGACACATTTTCAAAGTTGGTTGTCGCAGCGGCGAACCATCCTTCGTCTCCCATGGGTCCCTGTCCCGTCCCAATATCCCATCCATGAATGGATATACCGATTAATTCGTTGTTGACCATACATGCTTTGGCAAAATCGGTTAATTGTGGGGATATGTGTCGTCGTCGAGATGCATTGGATGGCGCCTGTGCGGTGGTAGGAACTGGAGTCAGTTGTACCACTCGTTTTTCTTTTAGCTTGCTGTTGTTGCCATTATTGGAACTACTTTTGCTCTTGCTCTTTTTGTCGTTACTACTACTTGGTGCGGATGCTTCTGGACTAGTAGCTTCTGGCTTGTCGTGATGAACTTTTTTGTAGGCATAGCTGACTTCCTCCCGTTGAGCGCTAAAGCGGACGTGGTGTTCCCCGTCTTCTTTGTTGACGCCATTGACGACGGCAGGATTATTTTGTGATGGTGGTGTCTTTTTGGATGATTTCTTTTTTTTCTTGGTGTCTACCGCTCCTGTTTTGTAGGTGACTTCTACATTGTAGGATCCGCTGCTTTCACTGTTGTTGTCATCATCGCCATTTTGTTGATAGATGCCAGCCGCTTCGTTGGGTCCCAATCCTTCCAGCCACGTTTCATGGACATGAATCCATTGGAAATTTCCCGGACGTTGCTTCAAGAGACAAGAACTGAGACGTCCAAAACGAATGACATCATCTTGTGGTTGCTGCTGATCCTTGTTGTTGCTGTTGCTGGTAGAGCTTCCACTAGCAGTACTACTGTGATGACTACTGCCGCCCCCCATATCAATGTCTCTCCACCACTGCCACTCTTCGTATGTGACCAAGCACAAATCGTTCTGTGTCCAAATCACCTTGACATTTTCAATCTGAATATCAAAGGCTTTGCTGGGATACGCATTGTACTTTTCGGTCAAATTCAACAGTAGATTGGATCGACCCTTGAGGAATTGACCATTGGGAGCAATGTGACTGAATCCCGACGTGATGCGATCGAGTAGTTCCTTTTCCAATTCTTCCTTGGGCTGCAGGCCTTTGAACCAACAGACAAAGATGCCGTGCAAGTTCTCAATTTCCTCGCGACACACTTGCTGTAGCGTCTTGGGGCCGCCTGTAGTGGCTGCATTTGTACCCGAAGTAAAAAAAGGACCAGAGGCAAAAGAAGAAGAAGGACCCGAAGGGACACCCGGTAATCCTTCTGCTTTACCACTACTGGCACCACTGGACGACACTAAATGCTTGGGAGTTGCCACGTTATACACATTTCGCGTGCTGTCACCGGGCAACTTCTCCAGCTCCGATTGAAGTCCTCCTCCTCGCGGCATCTTGGTTGTTTGGCGGGTCTTGGCTGAATGAGTAAGGATCTACCTAGTAGCTAGCTAGCTAAGAGAGTAGATTGCTTTCAATTCCAACAGATCTCTCACGTGTAGATTGCTGTGTGCTTGTACTGACTACTAGTACCGTAGCTAGTAGAGATAGGCAGGCATAGGAATCGAATGGAATGAAAGGAGTGGAAGCTACTAGTATTTGGTCTTCTTCCAATGTAAGAAAGTCTTTTTCGCCTACCGGTACCCGTAAAAGTGATTAGTTGAAGGCGCCCCAGAGGGGAGAAGGAGGAGGGTTAAGCTAGTCTGGGCAAGAGCATCTAGTTGCACATGTTTTGAGTTGTGGTACCCGTAAAAGTCACCAGTCAAATGCACTCCAGAGGGGATTATGTACAAGTACATGTCCTGTAGGTATGGTACGTACCCTTTCGAAGTATCTTAAAACAAGGGTGCGAAGCAACAATGCATTATCTTAAAAATGGGTGTGCCACGATTCGCACGCACCGCGCGCATCGAATGACGTCAGTCGCACCTCTACGTGCAAACATGTAGAGAGCTACGTACGTATTGCACGTATGATTTCTACACGGCTGTAGAAAGCTTACGTGCAAGCTACATACCTATTGCACGTAGGATTGCTACAGCCGTGTAGGATTTGTACGTGCAATAGGTATTGCACTACGCTAAAAGCTAGTGTAAAGATCTTTCGAGTGTTTTGAGTTTGAGAGAATGAAAGTTATGAGAGAGATTAGAAAGCTATGAAAACTAATCAACGAGAGAGATCATCATCAAGGGATCGTAGATCTGGTCTCCCGCGGGAGACTATAAAGTGTGATAGAGTATGTTGCGGTAGTAATCCTACGTATCTCCACGATCCTAAAACGGAACGCGTGGAAGATTTGTCTAGCATGGATCTAGTAGCGTGGAAGTACTCCACGCTGGCTAAATATCTAGAGCGATGTTTCATCATCAACCTAGTATGACTAGAGCGGTCATTGAGAACCCTGTCTCAAATGACTATTCACGAGAGACTCAGTCATGAGTCAAACTCAAACCCAATCTAGGATCAAGTCGCGAATAAGGCTAAGAGCCGTGTATTGCATTCGCCCCCTGACAAGGGTCACAGAAGGCGCGACAGCAGTCGGACAAGGAGAACATATGATTTAAAGTGCGGAGCACTCTCATGAGATTTGGATGTAGACATGTGCGTCGCACGATGGCAATCCTACAAGGGGATCAGGCCTTGTATGGGTGTATATACCTTATGTTCCAAGTCTGGTAGACTGTGCCGCCATTGGGTAGCATGTGAGCCGTACAGTGCCATTGTCATTGACTCGGTCTATAGTGTAAGGACCTTTGTACTTTGGCTGACTACTTGCGGTGCTGATACTGTTGAATCATCACGGTATCGTTGACATTGTATTGATGAGGGACACGCATCGCGTTTTCCCTATCGTTGTTCTGTTGGATTAGTCGTTGGCGACGTTC